TAGTTACTCCTAAAAAGGTCTAACCAACCGCCTAGTACTGACTGCATAGCAGACTGTCCCACAGGAATGTACTACTATTTGAGTAGGACATCGTCCACGACCATCCTTTCTTTGTATTAAGGTAAACATAACCACTTTTTCACGACGTCACTGGTGACGTAAATCAAGTGGAAAGGCTTCTTAAAAACTTCTAATTACCATTTTCATTAAACTCGGTGAAAAGGTTTGCATTAGATACTGAGCTAAGATTATGCTTTTTCCGCTGAATCTTCAGCGTTGATGAGAAAATTTTAAGTGAAAACTGTGGAGGTTAAATAAGAACCATGTGTATTTGCACTAGGTAGAATGCAATTCTAAAAAAAAATTGGTTTTAGCGGATGGAACTTTGCATTAAGCGATTTTCTTTTACCCAGATACAAACAGTTTTGTTATACCTGCGGCAAGCCAGGAAAAAAAATATAACTATTGCGCTTTATCAGTTAAATGGTCACAATGAATTTATGATGTGTCATTAAGGCACTCTGGAATTCATCGATGAGTTAGGATACAACTTGGATCCGATGAATTCTAGAGTGTTCTATAAAAGAGAGAGAGGCAGAGAGAGACAGATGAAAAAATACACAAAAATCGTTGTCGTAAATGAAGGATCCTAGATAACTGAGTGAAAGGTTTCTATAGAATTTTAAATTAGAATTCCCTGCCGAATCATGTGGACCCGAAAAGGAGTTTCTCTATTGGAGAGTCCCCTATAGATTTTTGCGCAAGGAAATCAACCCACGTTTTTTCAAAAGATTTCCAAATCACTCGGTGGGGAAGAGTAACTGCAAATGAGTAGTGTCTCCCCGAAAATGTAATAAAAATCGAGTGAGTTTTGAGTTTTCAGAGGAAGATTTGGTTCTGTTTTAGTCATACCTATAAGTGCGAATGAGATGGTATAAATGAGCTTCGATTTGGCCTAGGGCCAACGGAAAAGTACTATTGGAAAATATCATCTACGATTAAGTTACGTTATTGGTAGTCATGAATTTGTTGCTTTTAGCGTTAAACAGTAAATGGAATAGAAAATCAAGGACTTTATATTAAGGGACAGCACACATGCTACGATGCCCACCTAATACTGATTAAGCTATGAGTCCTGACTTTCCGTGCTTAGTAATAAAATGACTTCAGCTTTTCATTTTTATCTCCATTTATTAATGACATACAAGTGCAACAGGCATTTTATGAGGCTTGAGGAATTTCCACAATCCAATGTTCTGATCTAATCTCATTCGTCCTTAACGTGAAAATTACTGCTGAGATAGAAATGAAGGATTTAAATCTCCGTCTTATTTGCAAAGAATAGAGTATTCTTCACAGATTTTGGGTTGCCCTGAAACAATTACTAAGGTAAAAATGATCCATCGTAAATGCCAGTTCAATGCATAGTTCAGTGGTGTCGAATACAAAATTAAAATATATCCTAATTTCATGAGTCTTCAAACGGTCGTTCTTTATTAGAAGAACAGTAATCTCCCATTTACTGGTCGGCAGGGTTCGCACAGTCTTAAAAAGTCCTTGAATATTAGGGGAAGTCCTTGAAAAGTCCTTGAATTCCATTTTTCCTTGAAAAGTCCTTAAATTTCTGAGCAAGTCCTTGAAAAGTCCTTGAATTTTCTTAACTTTGAATGTGGTAGCCTGGAAAGAGTTTCTTGATGCTTTTTGGTTGTCCAAGACAGAATGTAAATCATAGCTCAGAGAATTTAAAGGTTATTTACATCAAGCGTTCTATGTTTTATGCAATAAATAACTATCAATTTAACACAAGTGAAGCAAAACAGTTCAAACCTTAAAGTCTTATCAGAATGGACTGGGAATGTGCATTTTTGTACAATCTGTGAAATTATATTCCTAGTAAGTGGTCCTTGAAAACTTAATATGGTCCTTGAAAAGTCCTTGAGAAATGGTTGCAATTTTTTGTATGAATCCTGGTCGGGAAGATCGAAGGCCCTGAACTCGCAGGGTATATAAAAAGAGGGACCAACAGTCCAAGGGAGCGATGGATCGCTTGTATTTTGGAAAAATAATGCGCAAACGTTTTGTTGCAAGTCTCTTATAAGTTATACCGTGGTTTTTGAAGTACCTGAACTCCAAGAGATTTCTAGTTTTTGAAATGCAATGAATATCACGGCTAATATCAGAACAAATGACTTCTGAAATTACTTATTCGTATTCCGGCATACGATCAACCCAACACTCCCCGGCCAAAAGTACCGTACCCTTTCTGACAAGATTTCATTTTTCATATTGTCCACACCCCCTGAAAGAAGGCCACCTTGAAGGTCTCACACAATTGTCTTTTGTTGTGGAAGAGGGCTAGAACTACCGTCCAGGATAGCCTGGGCGGGTAACGTTCTTACGAACAAGGCGCGAACCCTCCCCCCACCCATCTCTCTAACGTTCTCGCCTGTTCGCTTGCTTCACAAGGTATGTCCAAAAGAAAAGTTCTTTCTAATTTTGCCACAGACCCCTAAAAAACACCTTTTCGCCCGGGGTTAATTTGTGCTGGGTATGCTTTTGGGAAAAAGTAATTTTCGCGATCCTAACTTAGTAACTTTCTTTTTAGGCATCTACCTTATAAAGCCTTTTAACTAGGTCATCCCGAAATTATTTGGCACATTGGTTAACTTAATGAAGTAAAAAGCTTCCATTAATTTTCAAATCTGTACCTACGTGAATTTTCTGATCCCCTAAATCCCGAAAATGTGCGATCCCATTCTAGTAACTCATCTTTCACAAAAATAATTTTAATCATATAACCAATTTCAAAGTGTCTTCGATCTATGTTCGCAGTGCCGAACAGGCGGCGGGGTATTCCATCTCTCCAATTAGCCATGATCAAAAAAGCACGGATTTCATTAAAATAGTAGTTAATTGCTTTATTTTTGCGGCCCGACCAGAGAAAAGAAAGAGTGGTGGGCGTTCGGCTCTAATAGAACATCAACACCTAACAACGCAAAACAGCTTTGGAATTAACAATCAAGACAAGAGCTTTTGTCATTAAGAAAAATAACTTAACTCTTCCGCCTCTTAAAGCAATTAGCGAGAGTGTTTTTTAACAAACTTACTATATTTAAACAAGAAAGGATCTTGATTTCATGTAGAGGAATGAGTATTGAAATACGCATTTAGCGAAAAAACACGTTTGCGCGTGAACTTAAGGAAACTGTTAAGTTTGTGTAAACACCATTTTTTTATTTCGCTATTTCGCACAGTGGATTAAAAAATAAAAGGTAATTTCCTGGCGCCAAAACCGCAGTATATGGCACCGCGTATCTTAAATAAACAACATTTGAAAACAACCTGTTGTTTTATGAGGCCGCTGCGCTATATAACTACAGTGTAGAGCTATATCAGTATCGATGGATTGTTAATTCTTGTTTATTATGCTAACAAAGGGTAGTCAAAGGCAATGCGTAAACACCGGCTTACGAAGTCTGCCTTTACGGTCTTTTAAGACAATCATTGCCAACTCTGGATTTATTTGTAAGCGGGTTACTTTAAGCAGACGGATTTTATTTTTAAGTCTGCACTATATGTCTTTTCGGTGGCGTTCGCAGCAAAAACGAATGGAAAATTTACACTAAGAACGCGGTTTTTGATCAAATAGACAAACTCAAAGCAAGGGGCACACATACACCAACCCACGGCATGAACGGTACCTCACGCATGCGCACAGTCACATCACTCGGGCAGTGACAGACATGGACAGCTGTTTCGCCCTGCCTTACTGGGGCTTCATCAGCATGGCATGGTCAATGAACGGGGGAGAAACCGTGTATCAAAGACCCTTTGAACAAACAACCGGTTTGTCACTAAACCTCGTCCCAGGCTCTCTCGCTTCTTCCCGTTTTCTGAAGCTGGGAGGGAGTTTATGGAATCCACAGGACCCATGCACAGGACCTAAACTCTTTCTCTGTTAGCAGCAGCTTGTGATGCCTTCAACTTCTTTCATACCGCCTAGGTTTCTCTTATTAGTTCGTCGAACAATCATTCTTCTCATCGAGTCTGCTGTCCGCGTCAATCCCTGTACGTGAAAGCTATTTCTGACATGTTAACTTTGGTTTTCCCTTTTGCCTCGCGCAACTGCTGGTAATAGGTCCGGGATATCTCTTAAGAGGAGCGGAAAAACTGCAAATAGGTCGGTCATGGGACGAGAGAACGCGCGAGCACGCGTGCGACAGAGAACGCGCGAGAGAGCGGCGAAAAACAGGCCTCTGCGGAGGAGAGAAGCATGCGTAGCAAGCGTTTCCAATCGAGTTATTGCACGAAAGTAGGAGCGAAGGAAACCAAACAAAATGGAAGGGGGAGGGAAGAAGAGTAAGGTTTCCTTTCCTCCCCTCCATTCCTCTTTTTTGCTCTCTTCCCAACTTTCTCGACGATCTTGCGCGGAAACGCTTGCTATACGTAGGCTAGAGAGAAGCGACTCCCCCAAATGCTGGTTGGTTATGCCTTTTTAAGCAAGGCAAGAAGATGTAACAAATACACGAACAAGTTGCTTATATTTGATGCGCGGTCGATGTTTGCTACCGACAGAAATATGTTAAAGGTTTGTTGCTAACTTATGCAATGGCTCCTTGAGGGTTCGTTGGAAGGAATAAGTAGCAGCTTCTCAGCTCAGCCCTGAGTTGGTCAGAAATAGCCAAATAATGCTTGATGCCACGAATAGGTCAAGGGAGAATAACCCATAATAACTGACAAGTTCACATGAACTGAGAAATCAAAGACAAAGAACTAAGTAATATTCAAACAATTCTCAATAAGTTACATTTCATAGTATCAGTTTTGTTAATCTATTGCATCTATGGCATTCTATACCTATACATCGAAATGCTACAAAATCTACCTAAAGATATATTTTTATTACAAGAATTCACGAAGAGTTTCAAAATTCAGTAGAGCCTATTAAACTAAATAAAAATAAATGAAAAAAAACCCGGCCATTTTTTTTAAAGGTTTTCAAAAACCCAATAATAAAAACCCGGGGAATGAAATTTTGAAAAATAATTTACCATGCCTATTTTAACATGTGTTGTGTAGTAGATGCTTTTATCGTTCGATACAGGAGCCATAACCGGGGTATGACTATGGCTCCTGATCATTCGATACCTTCTCAAGGGCATAAATCTTTTTATTTTTGTAAACTCTTTACTTTGATCATGAAAATAAAGTCATCTAAGCCATTTAAATGTCTGTTAATCAAGTTTTAATATGGCAGCACCACTCCCCGGCTGAGTAGCAAACAAACTCTCGGACACCCGGCTGAGCCTGTCTGGATCGCCGGCATAATACCCATCACGCACTGCTTCCATAAAATCGTTGAGAGAAGCAATGGGTACCAGTGAGACTGTGCAACCGCCCCAACCAGCACCTGTGAGCCTGGAGCCAACTGCTCCAGATTTCCTAAAAGGAAAAGGGTAAGAAGAAAGAAAAAGCTATTGGTACGGGATCGTGTCAGGTGTGTTCACACCGGACCACGCCGGCCTCTTAGTGTAAATGGATCGGTTTAGACGCGAACAGTCTGCTCAAGCCTAATCTGAGTTCTTACCAGTCAGACAGGCGCAGAATTTGCAAAATTGCGTTGCGTGTCGAACCGATCTACAAACTCAGACAAAGTTGCTGGGACATGTCGAGACATCTGGGAAAAGCTCCCCTCTCAAGTCAAGCTAAGGCTGAAAAAAATTCGAGTTTAAGATTTGATAGACTACGAGTAGTCCCCCATTTTTCCTCAGGGATAGTAGAGCGATCGAAACGCGAGCGGGCGTGAAAATAACCCCACGTGAGAAAAGGCGACACGCGGCGGGGAGAGAGAAAAATGTGTCGCCTTTTCTCGCGTGGGGTGATTTTCACGCGTGCTCGCGTTTCGCTCGCTCTACTATCCCTGAGGAAATATGGGGGACTACTCGTAGTCTAAAGATTTGATTGAAAATCTCCGGTTTTGTTGTTCTTTGTCTTGTAAACGGGACGGAGTTCAAGCAAGTGTTGTGTCTAGTGCTGGTCCGAATAAGATCGCCAAAGACAGTGTGTTTGGCAGAAAAATCGAGCAAAATAGGATTAGGATACTCAGTTATTGTGAAGTGCGCTTTGTAGAAAGGAGAAGGGACAAAATAACTACGGATCGGATATTTTAAGTGTATAATACCTGCACAGGGACACCAACTGATCCAGTTCTTCACAGCTGCACTCGTACATTTTACTACAGCTTTCATGACTTTCATTCATAAGTCCGCCCAAAACCTGAACAGAATAAATTAATAAAATGAAATAAATAAATAACATGAAATAATAATTCCGATGCAAATAACTAAACAGTCACTGGAATACAGAAACAAGAGAAAAGAAAACGCTAAAACGCAAAAAATTAATAAACGCCGATCGAATAAATGCAGTATTCATCCTTTACCCATTGATTACATAGAGAAGATAAAGCTTTGACTAACATCCACAAATGTTCTCACCTGAATAGCGTTAGCAGGTTTTTCTTCACACACGCTTTTAAACTTAAACACCCTAGAAGCTTCAGAGTACACATGCATGGCACGATCATGGAGCTTGAAGCTGTTGACGCCGGCTGTTGAAGGACTCATGCACCCACTGATCAGCTCATCTTCCTTAAAAAAAACCATGTATACATTGAGATACAATGATGTTTAAAGTGGTTCCTGGTCTATCAACCATACAATGTCCACCCTATATAAATTATTATTTAAAAAGCGACAGGTCACTAGACAAGTTAGTGCCAAGACAAACAAATACCAAGACACTTTTATTGCAAGTACTATCAGAGACTGGAACTTTTTACCAAATAGAGTTGTTGAAGAGCAGTCAGTGGAAGCTTTGAAAAAAGCCACCAGGTACCATGTTAAAAAAAACGCTGACCCCATTATTATTTTTTATTCAACACGCGCACCTTGTCTCATTTTTTTTTAACACTGGCACATACACATTTGCTTCTGCTGTGATAGACTATGCCTTTTCCAGATTACACAATTAAAACTAGAATTAGAATCAGAGGTGTCGTAAAAAAGAAAGGAATTTGCTAGATCAAAGACTAACAACTGTTTGCTTGTAGATTATGAAAAAAAAACTGATTTCATTTTTACTATGGCAAAAAATACCGTTGCAAGTGCGTAAGAAAATTCAGTTCGATGAAATGATGAATATATGAATTTCACATGTTTGAACTGCGGGAAGAAGAAATAACTACAGAGGAGATCATCACAGTTTAAGACGCAACTTATGCAGTTGCGAAAGGAAAGCCTAAAAAAATTCAGGCTTGCCGAGATTCGAACCCTAACCTCTGAGATACCGGTATATTACGAATCAATTAAATGACCAGGCCCCAGTTGGCTTGCTAGGATCGCAGAGGTCAGGGTTCCAATCCCGGCAAGCCTGAAATTTTTCAGGCTTTCTTCTCGCAGCTGTATAAGTTGCGTATTAAGCTGTGATGATCTACTCTGCATTTAAAGTTTGGTTCTTTGCACATTCGTTTACGCACGTGATAGATTCTGAGAACAACATCATGAAGGTAAATGACTGTACTTAGACCGCGAATAAAATTCAAAATCAACATGAATGATCACAGGATTTGTTAATGTATACGTCATTTGAAACCTTTGTTACTCTTTTCACACATGGCCAGGACACAGGCAGGTACTTTTTGCCCTCCAGTAGGCGAGAAATCATGTCATGTCTCCCCATTGTCTAACTGGTAAATTGACGGTTGTCCTACAGGTAAGTTTTTAAAGCGCCTTGTGGTGTGAACAGCAGCCAAAGATCACTGCTTCTAGTATCATAGCTTTCCAGTGTTAGCTAATGAATGAGCGCCTTTTTGTTAGAAAAATACTCCAACAATATGACAAGGATTTCCGTGGTTGGGCCTTTTGGGCCTAAGAATTTTGGTTAGATAAAAGCCCTAGCCAAACAAAAACTCAGTTTGAATGGAGTGCGTATGTACAACGAAGTATCAGGAAACGAAGACTTAAATCCTTTCAACATACCGTCAAGCCAAAAAATTGGCAAAGTTCTTGTTTTGTGTACGGTTCAGTGTGAAGAACTGAGTCTACCATTTGTACCCTGCCTCGGAGATAAACAAAAATAACATTAGCTACATAAAGCTGCAGTAAAACGTGCAACAAAAAAGTACAACTTGTTTTGCAACATTGTTGCAGAACGTGTTGAAAAGCGATGCAGCGTTTTTTAACACCCACGTTCAAACCTGTCTTGCAACAAATAAAGTTGCGTGAATACTGTCTTCTGATTGGATAAAATTACGCGGGACTCATACCATATACGGGAGTTACGTCACTTGCTGCAAAACAAGTTTGCCTTGAGTCGGTAAAACGCGCAACATGTACAGAGTTTGTTGCAAAAAGTAGGACTAATTTCTACTTTCTGCAACAACTTTTTGTAACCCGCGACAAACTGATTTGTTGCAAAATAGTTTTGAATGTGGACGGTAAAACGCAACATCGCTTTTCAACTCACTTTGCGGCAATGTTGCAAACAAGTTGCACATTTTTGATGCCCGTTTCACCGTATGGTACCTAATAAGGTGTATTCTGGCTTGCTGCTTTCATATGGTCACCCGTAACGTTCATAACGAGGCAAAAGCATTTTCTTTCTAGTAACTTAAAAGTCAAATTTTCTCTCATTAGGGAGAAAGGAAAACGAAAGATCAGCATCGTTAAGTACGTATTTTTATATGGCGTCAACGTAACTACATCTGTAGTTCAAGTTTGCCTGCGCTTGGTAGCGGCTTACATTTCATCCAAGGTTTTCTTTTTGCCTTGTTGCACCTCACTCAAACGGCGCACATTCTTCCAGTCAAGTCCGCTGACTTTGGCCAGTACCTGTCCAACAAAAAGCAGAAAACATGTAACCTCTGTACGGCGCGGGAAAACCGCCGAAACCTGTGTAAAGCGCGGGAAAATAGTAAGCCGTTACCCGATGGAGGCCATGTCAGAAAAAAATTAGCGAGAAAGCACACTACTTCTTAAAGAGCGAAAAATATGTAACTAACCAGGATAGGGGAAATGTGGATGCTTACCGAAAATCCCGATTAGGCTGCCGAGGGGCATAATCGAAAGCGGTTACCATTATTACTATGCCTCTGTTACAAAAACGGGGCGAACATGTGTAGGACTACCTCGGAACTTAATCTTGAATTTTAGGTGTAGTTTCCAAAAAATGACCTGACCATTTAATAATTCCGTGTAGAATTTTTTTCGGGATTTTGGGCTTAGTGATAAGCACCCGGCCCATGTTACAAGCATAGGTAAATACAGTAAACACTGATAAACGAGGTAAAACATGTTATAAAGCCTGCATTACTGGCGTTCTTTTAGGGCGTTTTTCAGGGCGAGCGCGAGGGGGGTTTGGATCGCGAGACACACGCGACGGGAAAAATGTTTTTCTCCGCTTTTCCCCGTGGCGCGTGTCTCGCAATCCACGCCCACCCCGCGCTTGCCTTTGCTCGGCTAAAAAACGCCTAAAAATAATTATAATAAATATACCACCAGCTACAAGTTATAATGGCATGAAAAGGAAAGCGAATGCATCATATAAACGAACCTTTCTTTGCATTGAAGAGGTTTCTAAATGTAGCCAGGGCCCAGGCTCCTTGGCGAGGGAAAATGCGAATAACGGAGCACAAACGTGAAAAATTAGCAGGCGAGGCGAGCCAAGTAATGGGTTCTACTCTCTCTATGCGCTCACCCTGTTATTCGCTTTTTTCCCCACTAAGGAGTGACAAACATCAATTTTCGCCTGACATAGGCATAACATGAGAATTAATGAAATGATCGCCTTGGGGAAAATGTTTTGATCTTTCATCAAATTCTCTCAACTAATGTTTTAAAGAAATGTATGGAGATCAGTTTGGAGAATTTGTGTGTGGATATTTTGGCTTAATGGGTTAAGGACGTTCTGCTTGCTGTATGATACCTTGGCTGCTAGACGACACTCCACCACTCTAGCGTTAAAATGTGTACCAGCAGTAGCGGATTTCTTCATCTCCACCTGACATGGATTAAACAAAAACATCATTCTGCATTTTATACTCTGTTACAAATGAAGACGACTGGTTTCTAATGTTGCAAAGGCAGGAAAAGAATTGCTTGCACAAAATCGAGAGCATTTCGTTTTCTGCAGCACAACTACTAAAGAACATTTTTTCAGTCAAGTCGTGGTTGCAAAGTGAAACATGGTTGCTTCCACGGTGTTTTACATAACGAGGTCAAAGCTGTCACTTTTAGGTTTTATTTTCAACGGTATCAACCGGCTGCGGCATGTCTTTGCACTTGTAGAAACCACCATATACCGTATTTACTTGATTAAATGACGCCCTCGAATAAACGCCACAGCCAATCAATGAATGCGGCGTTTATTCGAAACTCGGTACAACTTGGTATCTACACTATCCAGAAAATAAACGACTATCTCGCGGCAAAAAAGCGAGAGATTGGAACTTGAAACATCTTCCTGTTTTACACACTATTTACAGATGATTTATCACAGTTGTTGAAATAAAGGCAGCATCGGGAACGCTAAGAATTTGATAATGTGGCGTGTAATCAAATAAATACGGTATACTGTATACAAATTGGTTGTTTCATTTTGGAACTCAGAAACTACGTTGACATAATACATGTCGCTTTCTTTAAACTGTTGACGTTTCCGTGGTTACGTCCCATGTCAATTTATCTCGGAAGGAGGCGGTCACACACTTGGTTCCATTCATCTCCAGGAAAAAGGCCTGTAACCCCTAGCTAGTAATATAAAAACTGACTACAGATCCATACCAAACTATTGGCAATCACAAACACTATTCCATCTGGGAGAGTTACATCATATGCTCTAATAGGATCAAACTCAATGTGCTTTGCCTAACAAAGAACAAATCAAAGAAAATTAGTGTATCAGAAACAAGAAAGGAAACTTTAGAGTTAACGCTGTGCAAACAATGTCTGTTTGTGGTAAACTACTTGCTATACTTTTTGTCTCTTAGTATCCACACACTATCCACTGAGTGATTTGCGGGTGGAACACACAAAAAATATGAAAAAGAGACTTGTAAACTAAAGTACATTTGTAAAGACATATGGAGCACAGGCTTAGTGTTGCCTGTAATCTCCTCCAAATGAATACTTACAGTTCCTGGCTCGGCCAAAAAGGAAATAGACTGGTCCATTCTGCGAAATACAAGAACATATGAACTTTCAATTGCCTAAGGCAGCAAATGTTTTTTTTTGCAGCATACGGCGACGGCGACAGCGAAGTCAAGGAGAACGGCAAAAAAGGAATAGGTTTATATTAGCAAAACAACAACTTTTCACGTGCTTCACGCACGTGCATCACGCTCTCCCATCACTGCGTGAAAATGCCTAATTTCACGTTTTGTCGAGGACATGAACACAAGACAACGACTTTCTTTTTCTTTTCCTGAACTTTGATACAGTCTTTTAGAATTCAACTCCAGAAAAATTTATCAACATTGGACGAATTGAACGAGTTGGAATAAGCGCGATAAAGTTTGAAGTAGCGCGAATTCACTGAGAGAGCGGCGGAAATCAAGCCTACTTTTTAAGTGACGTTTTCGTGGCCGTCGCCATGGTTGTTGCTTAAGCTCCTTAATGAAAACAAAACCTGCAACTTGAGTAGTGAAGGAAAACTGAACAAAAACTTGTTTCGTTGTCAGATTTCCGGTTTTGCAGTTCTTAGAATAGAGTCAAAATGTTAATTTTTTCCTTTAAAATCCCAATATTATTTCATCCCTCTTGGAGAAATGTATTTTGGTTAAAATCGTGGGTAAAAATTGCAGTGTTAGGTGTGGCTGGTATGGAGGAAAAAATTGTTTTTATTCAAACTATCAGAAATTTCGAAAATTCATCCATTCAAAAACACAATAGCACTGCACTTTCAATTTTTCACACTTAGGGTGCTCGATAAATGATTACAAATTATTGAATTTCAAAATCTGCACAGTACCGGTAATGACCTAACTAGCCTGTTCCAGGCTTCAAGATAGTAATGTGGAGAGATCATGAAAACTGTTGCAAAAAACACACGTCGGCTGGGGAGAGAGAGGTTGATGGACCTCTTTCCAACGCCGCACATTTTCCCATATCATGAACATCCTATTTTTTCCTTGACCTTGGGCGCTTTCCATTTACCAAAAACTTTGAGAAACTTCCATGGAGAGGTCTATTGAGTGAAGAACGTGTTCCATTTGACACAAGTTCCATTTTCTCAAGCTCTCGTCACCAAAACTTAAGATAGCAACACAGATATCGCCGTGAATAGCCTGGAACTGACGATTCCTTGTGAAAACTCGTAAATGGAACATGCATTTCCACAGGAAAGTTTCCAACGGGAAAACAGGACTACCTTTTCAAAATTCCACTTAATCCCGGAAATTTTTCGGTGGAACGCACGGAAAACGTGTGTCCCATTAACATCCCAACCGGAATTTCCGAAATTTCTTCGTAAACGGAAAGCGCCCTTTGTTTTCGTGATGTCCAACTATCTAAGAGCCTGGCACAGGCCTTGACCTACCCTCCTCCTTCAGTTCCAATGTACCGCTCACATTTTGTGCACACCTCTGCAAGTTCATGCTAATTACAACAACAACAACACCAATCAGAAGTCACCCACAGTGTACATTCTGTAGCTGTATCACTGAAGTATAATGTAATGAAAAATTAAAATAGCTAGACACTGTTATGACTGGTATGTGGTTTTCATTTTGAAAGTGACTAACACTTTGGTTGCAATAACATTAACAGCAACTTCAGCGTAATTAATTATTCCTATAGTCAATTCCAATGCAACAGTTGCTGCAATTTTCCTATAATAGGCCATTTGCACGATGGCGTCATTTTACAGACCAGAATCCTTTGTGTTTTTTCTTTCATATTCAAAGCGAGGTTTAAATAACAAAAACCTCAATTTGCACAAGAAAGCAAATCCCTGAAGGATTCTGGTTGTAGTAGTAAAATGATGTCATCATGCAAATGGCCTATTTCCACTTTGCTAGAAGACAAAAGGGGCATTTTTCACTTTTTTCTTTTCTACAAGCCTTAAACATTGTAACTTGTCTAATGAATTTGTGGGTGAGATACTGGAATCACTTTACAAACAAACTGTCAAGTCTAACTGCAGTTTTAAGACGAGAAGAAGTTATTAACCGACCTTACTCAATTCCAGTCCATTACCATGCACTGTTGCCAGTCCTGAACAGCAGACAAGCGCTGATGAGCTGGACAAACCTGCACTCTTTAGGAAAGTGAACAGAATAATAAATTTCAATGAAAGTATCTTGGTTCATTGATAGATACATAATACATAGCTAAAGTTTGAAAAAAGAGGGCTTGAGAATAAAGAAAATAATAACCGAAGACAATATTAAGACAATAAATAATGAAGACCATTTTAAAGGATCCAACTTATCCTTAGATAACTTCTATAGTGCCCTTTCCTCTCATTATGAATTTTAACTGTAAATAGGTACAGGTGTAAATACTATTTATCTATAGCTGTATTTGTGACATATCAAATATTAGATTTCAGGTTAATTTTGATTTAACTTTGGTTGATTCGCAACCTGGCTTTAAAAAAGTAACCTCAAAATAAATTTGACATGTAACATCTATATAGATGGCTATAACACCTAACTTGGGCAGGGGGAGGAAATCTTTCACACTAGATCCCAAGCAAGCACAATCCAGTTAGACAGAAAATTCCAGGGAAAATATTCTTCCACTACCCACTTGAACTTTCTTCAAAATATTTTCACAATCCTCAGGGTCTTCACAAAAGCTTTAATTTCTAAACAAAATTAATAATGCCTAGAATACCATCAGCAAAAACAAGAAATGGGGGAAGAAAAGGGATCAGGGACTGGAGAGAAAGCAATGGAAAAAGTTAAGGGTTCAAAACTGTCTTAAGATTTTGCCTTCTGCACACTGGCCTAAGCTTTGAAAGCTGTTGTTCAGCTTCAGGAATAGAAGCCGCTGATGACATTTGATTTTTAAACAATGTTTTGAGTGTATTTGCTTCTTTACAGAAGGTTATGACCAGAAATCACTTAGCTAGATTCAAAATAGGTTTTTCGGTAAAACGTCCCAAGGAAAATGGGTTAATTTAACTAAAATAATAATAATAATAATAATAATAATAATAATAATAAGGTGTTATCAGTACCAGTGAAGGAGATATAGGGAGAACACATTTGGCTGTGCAGATATAGGGCTAAAAGGTTAAATGGAAAACAAAACAGATTCCATACCTTTGGTACATTTCCATCAACTAAAAGATTTAAGCCTATGGGAGATGTAATCTTCATGTAATCCACTAAACCCTAAAATAAAAATGATGGATTCATCCTTTAATGTTAAGTTCTGACTTGCACGTTGAAATGGCATAAACATCTCAAAAGATCTCTGCAATCCTTGAGTTAAACCTACTGACCATAACTCACATTTTATAGAACAAAACTGTCCACATTTTGCACTTAGAATTCTTAAACTAAGAAACTTTGTCAAAGATATCACTAATTTTTTTAATCAACCAGTCACTAGTAACAATGATCATTTTTTATCTTAATGAAAAATTTCCTGAGGAATAAGCCAAGATTTTACATGCATACCTTGTATCCACAGAGAAAATAATGGTACCACTCTTTTCCATCTATCTTGTACTCTTCACAGCTTACACTAAAATCACTATAAAACAATAAAACATTATAGGATAAATACTTCCATGTACATGAGAGAGCCCTAAAAGAGTACAATACATGTAAACTTTTCACTTGACTCGAATGCTAGAAATTAAAGAAAGCAATTAAAAGAAATCCCGTGAAGGGTTGGAGAACACTTTTGATTGACAGTAATGTCTCTCTCTCTCACTCTCTCTTCATGGACACTTTTATAAGACGATGAGGTCGAGTCTGTTCAAATGTTGGATAGCACTATCCCCTGGATTAATCACTATCCAGCGGATAAGTAGAAGGAAAAATACCCACTGGACAGAAATTTATCCGGTGGATAGCGGTATCCACCGTTTGAACAACCGAGGCCTGTTGGCTAATCTGTAGGTGTGGTGGGTCAGACTCAGACACAAGGCCAGTCTGTCCCAGATACTGTGTATTGAGTCAATGATGATGATGATGATGATGATTACAAGATCAACACCTTCCTAACATTATTGAAATTTAACATGGTACCCAGTACCTTTATAAATGGATCATGTCACACTATTAATTAATTTGTTACTGGGTATTTTTTGGAAAAACTAAAACCTATCTTTGCATTAATAGAATAATTCTATTCTATTATTCCAAAAACAATGGTCCACTTTTGTTGTTAAGACTAAAAAAAAATATTATTATTCATTCAAAATATTTCCCCAATTCTTATTGGCTAAAAGCACACGCATAATTCACCATAACCAGTTAAATATACTGATGACCAAATTTGGGAGAATTTTGTGTTTAACGAGGAAATGACGTCAAAAACTCGGAGGGTGACATCTGCTATTTGGAGAATATCTGCGGAGCTGGACAAACCTAAATGTACACTATCAAAGATGAACTTAACATCGATGCAGATAAGCATGTTTTAGCTATGTTTTAAACTAGGAATTATTTTGAATGAATGATAAAGCAATTAATGAATTCGGCTTTTGTAGGATATGAACAATAAAGCAGATCTTGGAGGGTGTTATCCACCTTGGGCTTCAGCCTCGGTGGATACCACCATCCTCAATCTGCTTAATTCTCCATATCCTAAGAAAGCCGAATTCATTAATTGCTAATTATTTAATCATCATCATCTGTCATCGGTTGCTATGGATGGCAAGAAAAACATTGTTAGTGATAGTGCTCCCTGATGAAAGTTTTTAGATAACTTATCTTTTTTATAACTCTACAGGGCATTTTGTGTATAATTGGGTTAAGGCTGTAAGTAATGGCATTTGCAGAGAAATGACCTAAAAGAGCAATATCCTGATGACATGGCCCTTTTAAGAGAGGATTTTTACTACTCAAGGGTTTATAGTAAGTTTCTTATGCTAACTTACTGAAAGCTGTTGAAAGTATTAGACAAGTTGAGCATCTTCTTATCATTTTGTCCCACTGCTATAACAATATCCTGCTCCACGGCCATCGGTAGAACACCATAGCCACAATAGTCAATATGTTCTCCTAATTAGCAAAACAATAATAATTCACAATAGTTTGCTGTGCTGTCAGTGATAGATAAAATAATTATAAGAATACAAGATTAGTAAAGATTTACTAAGCCCATACAGGGCTCAAAAACAGTCTCATCCAGTAGTTTGGGGCAATTTGATTTTCTTGAAGGGCAAGTAAATTTAAAAGCTTATTTGCACAGTAGGCAAGGCTCCAAACAAGTCATCCTCAAACAAAATCATTAACTAAGACAAGCAAGAAGTGGCCTGGAACAAAAACAATGGGAGAGCTGCTTGCCCAAAGGACAAGCTGGAATTCAATTTTTTTTTCGAGCCTTGCCATAATTTAATTATTAATTCCCTTTATTTTTTGTTAATAATTAATTTAACAAATAATTGCTTTGAATTCAACAAATTTGCGAGTTGACCACAACTCATAATAAACCACCTATTTCTGCTTACCAATAATATTGACTCTCCCAGGTGCTCTCGCATAGAATTCTGGGTCACAACCATACTTTTGCTGAAATGTTTCTTTAATCTTCTGATATCTAATGAATCAAGAAACCAGAAGGGTGAACTTTCCAAATAATAAAGCATGAATCCCGGGGGGAGGGGGGGGAAGGTCCTACGGTCCTAAACCCCAACCCTATTTAAGGATGAGACAAACAAAAATTTTTACCCAATTTAAGGCCCTAGTCCGAAAGGTGACACCCTATTCAAGAGAAAAACAGAAATCAAAAATGTAATGGTAACACATAAACTAAACTCTGATCAGGTGGTTTTTTTTTTTTTGGGGGGGGGGGGGGAGGGGAAAAAAAGGGGGGCCCGGATAATTTTCCTTTAAAGGGGGTTTTTTCCCCCCTATTAAGGCAATTTGGAAAATTTTTTTTTTTGTGTGAGTTTTTCCTTACATTTCATGTGTTTTGAATTAAAAGGGGTAAATCAAATATGAGAACGAAAGAATGAAAAAAGAAAATAAATGAAAAGATCGTAACAAATAGATGTCCCAATAGGAAAAAGGGCTACAATAAAAAAAAAAAAAAAAGAAAAAAAAAAATGTAAAAAAAAAAAAAAAATATTTTCTGAATAGGTGGTTTTTGTTTTGGGGGGGGGGGGAAGGGAAAAAATAGGAGTGCCTGATACATTTCCTTTACAAGTGGTCTGCTGCCCCCTAATTAAGGCATCTGTGAACATTGTGTTATTGTGTCAGATTTTACCTGCAATTCAAGTGGTTTGCAATGAAGACGGTTAATCGAAATGTATTTGTCTGCTTTTCAGGCAAGCAGTGGGTGCTAAGTTGATACAGTAGTCATTAGCGAAAACATCACCAGACAGATATTAAAGAACAATTTAACACTGCTGTTATTGCGAATCTTGCCTTATCGTTGCCGTGTGGTACCTTTGTTCAAACCGTCAAGTCAAATAAATTAATAATTCATTTAAAACAAAAGTGGAACAACAGAATTGTGTATTTTACTGGAAGATATGTCAAAAGTCTAGGAATTTACTCTGTGGCAACAAATCTTTCATAGTCTTATCAGGGTTTTCAAAATGCGTCGGCGACCGGCGCTATCACCAGCTACTCTGAGGTTTTCGCCGGCTGTAAATTGCTGGAGAAAGGGAAAAATAGAGGATTAAAAAAAAGTTGTAAAGTAGAAAAAAGAATAGAAAAAGAAATTGTTTTCATCATGTCCTGAATGTTCTTTTTCGTGATTTTGAAACGTGTTTTCTAATCCACTCCCGATTACTTCTTTCTTTAGCCGTAATATGATACAACGAAGCGCATAAAAATAGCGTTGATGCATGCGACGGGTTTGTTTACCTAGTCTTTAAAATAATCGTTCGTTCACAATGAAGAATAAAAGACACGCCGAAGCTTTCGATTGGTTTTCGCACTCATCTGGTACGAGTTTGCATCTGAAATCGAATCAAATGAAATGCGATGTCTTAAAGTACCTATCTTACAATGTACATGAAATTGGCTGACAAACATGACGCATTCCAAAACGTTGGTTAATTTTTTCAGACGTGTAGAACATCATTTTCGTTTTTCATGGATTGATGCCAATAAAAGAGTTGTGCATGATATGATGAATCTTTCAAGGAAAGTTGTCTGAAACTTCATTCTTATACAGAAAATTGCCCGCAAGAAAAGCATTTTTAATTTTCAAAGTTTGACTTGCGCACGTGCCGATAACGCAATGCAACCAAAGGAAACAAATAAAAATTCCCGCTCTTGGTATCCAATTACACTTGCTCAATCCACACTTGGTCTTGGGAAACTTGAAAATTCGGAGTTTATATGAGAAAATGGCTAAACGACAGTCCTCTCTGGTCAACTTTTTTAGCAAAAGAGCAAGAAGTGAAGGTGAGTTTGTTGATATTTTTGATACAAAAGTGTTCTAAAGTAAACTAGTTTTTGTTGACCAACAGTAAGTTTTTTCTTCCCGGTGATTTTACGGTAATTTTGTCACTCTTAATCTGTTATCATTAAAAAAATCTGAGAAATAGTAAACATTATTATTGTAAACAAACAAATATGGACCTAACGTGTACTAGGATATGGCATCTAAGAGAATAATGAAATGGGGAATAAAAAAAAACAAAATGATGGTGTTCATTCAAAATACTCAGGATTGTTAGCATTGCTCTCAGGAGAGCGAATTTCAGCTAGCGCGAAAACCTCAAATCCGTTTTGTTTCAGGGGGCTTCGCCCCATCGACCCCCAACGGGACACTGCCCCTGTACCCCGCTGGGTGCCTAGGCGGCCCCCAGACCCCTTGCCTCCTGGGGGGCCTCCGGCCCTATTGCCGCCTACTCACTTTAATTCTCCGGCTACTTCAAATCATTTTGACAACCCTGGTCTTATTAAAGTTTGCAGTAGTGCAGGTGTGAAATAGTCAATTATTATTGTTTTACACAGTTTCATGCAGTTGAACTTGACCGGGAATGAGGAACAAGGCATGCTGAAACTGAATGATGTATAGGATTTTTCAAAAGATTTTTTTCATCTCAGTTGGTTACCCCTGATACTTCCCAGAATGGCGATGGTCAGCATTAGACAATAGAGTAGTCTTGCAAACTAATGTGCAAATCTCCTAAGACATTCGAGCTTATCCAGAGTAATTAAGATTTTGTGGCAAACAATTTACAACCACGTTGCAACCAAATTAATTAAATAATAAGGCTAATGTTAAGAGCGCTCTCAGGGATTTCAGATCTCAGGGACGTTCTGATCCTATAAGCTGGGCGATTGAGAAACAAACCGCACCTTGTAATGTATGCGACTTTATAAAAACTTTTGAATCACCATGCAATATCAAAAGGTATATATCAAACAATTTAGATTACATGTAGCTAATAAATATCTTGCTTTTGCAGATCGCCTCACTTCGCGGTTGACAAAAAAGAGTATGAGCTCAGCTGTTATACGGGCCGGAAACACGGAAGGGTGCACATCTCTATGTAATAATTATCTAAAATATACTGAGGAAAGTCAACGCATGACCCTTGCACAGAGAAAAAGTAAGCTCATAAATCTCACCTGGGGGCCACTTTTTCGGTTGATCCTAAATACACCTTCTCCAAAGAATGAAATAAAGGAGGGCTTGTTTCAACGCGCCTACTTTCCGCCATGTTGTTGTTTTTAGAAAAAGATGATAGAAGGCTGGAAACTAGTAATGTCCTCGTGAAAACGAGGTTTCTTATCGCCTAGGACCGGAACGAGGCAAAATCTGAGGTCACGAAGTATATTCAGTCACGGTAATACGTCACGTCCAAAAACACACGTCTGAACACTGCTGAAGAGAGCATTCCGAGAAAAATGGGCCGCGGTAGGAGAAAAAACCTTTTCCTTTTGAAACCCTTGGTTATATTAGTTATTCTGTGAAAGAAAGGTCATGTTTTATGTACCGAATGGTACCCCAAGTGCCGGAAGCAGTGACAGTGGGGATGGCGGACTTCCCAGCACTTCCAAAAACCTCGCTGGATTGTTGGACGAACAACGAAAAAAAGGCATCGGTGCTGCTGTACTCACCATTACAGGTAAAATAGCCAAATTCCTACCATGAACTTGTTTTTAGAACAATAGAGACGAGCAAAAAATAGCTTATTGCGAGTTCTATTGTCGTTTTATGCCCGCTTCTTTTTGGTCTTAAGAGCATGCATGTACAATAGCCAAAATTGTGAGCTTATGTAACCTTAATGAGTTTTAATTAAATGTTCTCTTTCGCTTTACTGAATTCGTGGCGAAATTCCAGCTGAGAACTGTTGTTCCAACGTTTACAGTTCTGGTGGTTATCTTAAAATTACCATAATGCGGAATGGAACGTTCTATCTTTTGAAGGTGGTGTTGTTGAATAATGGCATTTGCCTTTCTGATAGCAACCACCTCTGTTTTGGTTATAAATTGGAAAATCGTAAAAAGTAAAGTTATAATAATACTGTGCGAACAAACATGATGTAACTTTAAAGGTTAAATTTGCATAGAAGCTCATTTATCTTAAAAAATATTTCAAAAAATAATTGTTCCATAAAATATTGTTCCATAACATTGCATAAATGAGCCAAATATTGTTCTTACCAAGAAGTTATAAATAAATTACGTTGAAAGAGCACAATATGGGTGACCATGTGCTTCGTACAAATTATACAGGCCTCAGTTGTTCAAAGGTTGGTTAACACTATCCACCGGATAAATTTCCATCCAGTGGATAATGCAATAAGGTTTTCCTAATACTTATCCCCTGGATAGGGCTATCCAAAGTCCAGGTCTATTATAAGCTGGAAGTCCCGTGTCAATACTCGAGCCATTTGCATTAAGGTCATCACTTGAAAGTATGACATTGCGTGACCATTCAGCTAATAATGAGTGCAAGACAGTAGACTTGTTTTCAAGGCTTTTTTTTGTGGGATAGATATTTTGTGCAAATTCTTTTTGGCTAGAGTTTGTTAACAGCCCTTTTGGAGATGGAAAAAAATGTAAAAAAATATTATTTTTGCTGGGAAAAAATACATTTAGAGGGATTTACAGGTTTGCTCTAGGAACTTTTTTAGGTGATGCTGTTAGCTTGAAGGTCTTCTTTCGGTTTAAGAATTGTGCTTCAAATTTCTGCTGAAGCACATGGCCGCATATATTTGAAATGGTTTTTCTTTGTAACAGTTGTTGAGGGGAGAAATCTTCCTGTAATGGACCCTACTGGCAAATCAGATCCATACTGTATAGTTATTGTTGGTAATCAAGAGCAGCGGACATCTGTACGGTATAGCACGGTCAACCCAACTTGGCATGAGACTTTACAATTTGACATGAGTGGCATACCACAGCTGATGCAGAATGAACCAGGTGAGAAGATGACTCTGATTTACCTACAGCTGTATAATCAATTCAGCCATGAATTTTGAGGGAATACCTTGATAGCTTTAAAAAAAATTTGAGTTGTACACAACAACAAACTACTCCTGCATGTTGCATTTTGTAATGTCACACAGGGCTGTCATTACGTTTTTAAGCAGCTGTAGCAAATGAAAATTTTTTCAAAATTGATTGATTACCCAACTTTAAACATATAATATGTCACAAGTCAAATTTGATTTCTGATTAAGATTTTTTAACCTTGGTTGATTCTCAATTTCTTTTGTCTTCTGGGACTAGGAGAATCAAGAGTCAGTCTAGGTTAAGGTGACTCAACCCAGTTTTTTTGGGGGGGTACCATCCTACTTTGAAGCTCTCTGGTATCCCCACCTTTACTTTTATCGTAAGCCTAACACATATAATGGATAACATATAGATCAATCTACAATATAACATAAAATTTTTGGCGATCGGAGTAAATGTCACATGGTTATAATGCCGCGCCCCTTTGAGGTCTGAGTCAAAAATCTCCTGTTGCCGGCATTTTTTCGTAAAAATCTCTCGGCTACACATAGTGTGCATTAGTGCCTTGCGCTGAACAGAGTTTCACCAAAATCGCAAAGACCCAATTCGAGAAATTCAGCGGTTTCCAAATTTAGGTCATAATTTATGCGAAAATGATAAGCAAACTTTACACGGATTATATCTAATAAACTATGAGATTCATCTCTTTATTTTGGGCATCGTTATAACAGATGGGTCCTTGCAAGTCAGCAAAACGCTTTAGGGCCTTGTAAATGCGCGCGATTTCGAGCAAAGCAAACATATAGAAATTATAGTTTTCGCTATTTGTTGACGTTTGTCAGCGTTTAAGAGTCCTTCTCACGAAAAAAGCATTTTCTTAAAAATTCGTAGTTTTTTTTCCTTCAAATTTTTTCAGGGCCACAATTGATTAACTAACTACCCGGACTCTGAATTTCATGGTCATTGAAAAACTGTGACATTATCTTCTATAAGCCCAAACTTGAGTAAACATTGAAGATTTTTAGCGTTTTGGCTGAGTTTGTGCTTTGGGAGTTGTCTATTGTTTCTAGTCTGTCATTATACAGCATTCTTGTTCAGCACGCGTGCAATGACCGCGCTTGGCTGACTTCCGAATGCTCACCGAGATATAATAATTTTGGTACAGTGAGACAGGCCATCGCGTGATACATAGAGGTTTAAGTCACAATTTTTAATCAATTCTCGTGCTTCTTGTGCCTTTGCAAAAAAATCAAGAAGTGCTACACACTAAATCTACTTACTATTAAAAAAATATCATTTTTTCATAGGTTTAATGCAAGCCAATAATTAAACCAACTCGTGACGGGAATATCTCGGTGAGCATTCGGAAGTCAGCCAAGCGTGGTCATTGCACGCGTGCTGAACAAGAATGCTGTATAATGACAGACTAGAAACAATAGACAACTCCCAAAGCACAAACTCAGCCAAAACGCTAAAAATCTTCAATGTTTACTCAAGTTTGGGCTTATAGAAGATAATGTCACAGTTTTTCAATGACCATGAAATTCAGAGTCCGGGTAGTTAGTTAATCAATTGTGGCCCTGAAAAAATTTGAAGGAAAAAAAACTACGAATTTTTAAGAAAATGCTTTTTTCGTGAGAAGGACTCTTAAACGCTGACAAACGTCAACAAATAGCGAAAACTATAATTTCTATATGTTTGCTTTGCTCGAAATCGCGCGCATTTACAAGGCCCTAAAGCGTTTTGCTGACTTGCAAGGACCCATCTGTTATAACGATGCCCAAAATAAAGAGATGAATCTCATAGTTTATTAGATATAATCCGTGTAAAGTTTGCTTATCATTTTCGCATAAATTATGACCTAAATTTGGAAACCGCTGAATTTCTCGAATTGGGTCTTTGCGATTTTGGTGAAACTCTGTTCAGCGCAAGGCACTAATGCGCACTATGTGTAGCCGAGAGATTTTCATGAAAAAATGCCGGCAACAGCAGATTTTCGACTCAGACCTCAAAGGGGTGTGGCATTATAACCACATGACATTTACTCCGATCGCCAAAAATTTTATGTTATATTGTAGATTGATCTATATGTTATCCATTCTATGTGTTAGACTTACGATAAAAGTAAAGGTGGGGATACCAGAGAGCTTCGAAGTAGGATGGTACCCCCCCAAAAAAACTGGGTTGAGTCACCTTAAATCAAAATTAACCTGAAATCAAATTTGACCAGTAACATATAGATAATCTATGGCTCTTATGTTTGGAATGATGAGTGCATTCCTTTGGGATGATCCGGATCACAATCAGCGATCCGAGATCACTTGGATCATGGTAGATCAAATGAACCAATGAATCCTTGTCCAGAGTGGATTCATCAGTTCATTTGATCTACCATGATCCGACTGATCTTGGATCACTGATCCTGATCAGAATCATCTCAAAGGAACGCACCTAATATGTAATGTTAGGGCTCTTTCCAAAAGTCAGAACTTTCAAGCTGGACCATGACCAGACCAGTCAGTTTGACAATTAAATAGACTTGTTCCAAAACATTTTGTTGAAAAACCATGTCCTTCAAGCAACTATTTAGGATTTGACTGATCTGGCTGGATAAGTTTTGATTAAAAGTGAAATTCTTATTATGACAAGAATAATCTGGCCGGCAGTTCTGATAAATGGAAAGGGCCCTTGGTATATTACCCGATAACATTATTAATTTTGGACTTCTCCATTGATTTTTAGTTGAGAATGCACTCTTTTGCTGCCTCCAACACTACATACAGATTGATCTGTGGGATTATGATACTCTCAACCGTGATGATTTCATGGGGCGAATTCAAATTCCACTAGCATTCTTAACAGAAGACACAACAGCTTGTTGGTATCCTCTAGGAAGAAGCTCTGCTAAAGACAATATCTGTGGTGAAGTTTTCCTAGAGTTGACTTTGAAAGCTTCTCAGGTATGAATTAACATTCTTTGAGTAGTAATGGGTACAGTTACACTGAAAATGATATTGATGTTGATAAGAATAGTGATAACGGCTGGTCAGTGGACAACGTCTGGCCAAGATGACCATTTGTCTGGACAGACTTTCGGTTTGCAGTCATCTTGACCAGACATGTTAATAAGCAACCGAAAAAAAAAAATTTTCACACCAGTACATTTCAAGAGGACAAGCATCTTTTTTAACTTGTGAATGCCAAAAGGGCATTTCACTAAGTTATCGCTGTGGGGTTGAGATATGCAAATGAATCACTCACTCGACGTGGACTATCTTCAGTTCCAAAATCAAAAGATTTAATTGCTGCCCAATATGAAAATTACATATCTTCGTTGTTACCAAAATGTTGCGAAAGTGTTACCGAAGTGTACTTTGGGCAACTTTCATGTAAGTGTGCATTTATGTGTGCTACCTTGTAAGAGAACTCTGGGAATAAGGTTGTCGTGCATCACATTTGCTACGGAAACGTTAACACTACTCGCTGTTGAGCTATCAGTTCAGATGGCCGTGTACAGCCATGCAGTATAAACTTTACATTGCACGCTACAAGTATCTCGATCATAAGCACTGCTGGGGCGGCTTAAATTTCCAGTAACAGAACAAAGGAAAAATGTTGTCGATAAATTGCGCAATTAATGAGGCTTGGTATTTATTTTTATGTACCCAAGTCATCCTGGTGTGTCGAGCAGGCTCTGGTGAGTATTATGGACTTATAGTCTGCACCAAAAAGTCGTCTTCAAAGGCATTTCATGCCGAAAGTCCGGCTAATTATGCTAAGGGAAACGTAAGCTCATATTCGATAACATTTTAGTTTTGAAAATGTGATCTGCGCCTTCTAACACTAACTTGTTTACTTAAACAGGTACTTCAAACTAACTGACTAGTCCAACATAGCCCTCCAGTATCATTTAACCACCCAAATAATCAGTAGTCTTCAAATGCATTTGTAAATATATATTTTTATTAATCTACAGCTGTATACGTGAGTAAAACATTTAAACAAATTTTATTATTATTACATTTTTATCTTTAGCCTATTCCAAGATGGTGTGTTGATTTTGAGCTTTACTCTATCTGTAAGAAGAAGACAGGATATGAGATTCCTGTTGCATTTGGAGATGCTGTAGCTGATTTCCCAGGTAGGGCCAAGAGGCTGTGCCAGGCAAGATTTTTTAGAATCAAAAATCACTCAACTCAGATCTAGGGCTTATGTGAGTTATTTGAGTGAAAATTAGTTCCACCCTCAAGCATGTACACTGTATTGAATTTCACTGCTTTACGTTCACTGTCATTTTTGTTTGCTCCCCCATGTCTATCTCGTTCTGCACGGCCCATTTGTTCGAAGGCTGATTAGCGCTAACGCGGGGTTAAATTTTAATCCGGGTTTCCATTTCTTTTGTTCAAAAACATTTTGTCGGTTCATTGTTTCTATTCTTTCAGAGTATCCAATCATCAAATTGTAAACAAAAAGAATTATACTGAATTTGCTTTTTTAACTTTCATAATTATCTGAATTCAAATGTCGCACTAACCCTGGGTTTACAACCTGGCCCAGGTGTGGATAGTAGTAAAGTTCTGTATTTCTTAGTAAAGTTAAATATTTATAATTTTTCCAGGTGAGGCAGAAAAAGTGGAAATGGTTATTGACGATGTTGTCATTGAAGTCAGTAAACACAGAGGCATTGGAAGAATGTATCTCACAAATTTTAGGTAAACTAATGCTTTGCAGTGTTGAGATTACCCAGAAATTAAAATTGATTATGAGAAACTGATTCAATTAAAACCCAATTTTGATGTTATAATTTTTTCTGTAGGCTTGTGATTCTTTGTCACCTGTCTGGTCTCACTGCAGCTGGGTATACATATGTGAGTATTGAAATAATTTCAGTTATTTATAATAATAATATTGTAAGTAACTTAAAAAGAAGCAATTTCTTTAAACTTTTGGCTGTAAAAAAATTGTCAACAAATTTTGCTTTTCCATTTATTACATAATCCTAATGCTTCAGTTTATATAAAATAGTCCAAAAAGTAGTTATTCATTGATTTTTTGAAAAGGTCATTACAATAAACTTAACGTATTAATCAGGCCACTTCAAGTATAATCATGCTACTCCAGTGGGCCTTAAAGCACCTCAGTCATGCTCTATAACATTGTTTAGAATCGGAGTTTTAAAACATGTGTCATGAATGTTGCATACAGTGCATATACCATAGCACCTAATGGATTTTTTCTTGCAGGACATGTCAATGTCAGTAGCACTAAACAATATTCAGTCAGTGGATAGAGGAGAAGACGAGAAAGTACTGTATCAAATGATTTTGTTCATACCTGCACTTTTAAAGCGCTAGTGTCAGATCTCTTAGATTAGTGGCTTGAGGTGTAGACTTATTCCCGATCCGACCACATGATTGTGTGACTGCTGCCTTGGCTGGGAGATTGGGGCCAAGGATCCATGACTGTATAACCACTTCTAGAGTAGAACCCTAGTAACTTGAACTCTGAAGGAAAACAAGAAACCGTTCGAGTTATCAGGGTTGATTGAAAAAATTCAATTTGCCTTGTTAAGAATTGATAGTTACTGATTTTTCAGTACTTCAGTGTATAGTGTAGTGCAAATTTAACTTATTTCATCAGAAACGGTAACATGATTAGGCATTTTCTTAAGATAAAACGTAATCTCTTCATTGCACCTTTTACCCTTATATAATAAGAAGGGCTAATGGGGTGGCATCTGAGTGGAGTTACAAGAACCAGAAATTAAGTTATCGTGGTAAATTTGATGAAGGGAAAGGAAATTTAGTTCGAGTTAGCGGAGAATTTGAGTTATCCGAGTTCGAAATAAGCGAGTAAAAATGACTGAAAAGTGGGGTGAAATCCAAGGGAAATTGGACTTAGTTCGAGTTACCGGGGAGTTCGAGTTATCTGAGTTGGAGTTATCAGGGTTCAACTGTATTTGAACCTTACAGTGTATGCACAATGACATATTGTGGCCTCATTTCCTCAAAAGTGTTTGACCACAAATTAATGAGCCCCTACATAGCCCCTTTAACGCTTAGATTGTCATAAGCAAAAAAAGGCCACTTTGGAGCTGCCATCTTGGACCTTCTTTTTTATTTTCTCCATTGAGTGTGGCATCATTTTTGGAAAGGTTGTCTTCTTCCTGAATACTTACAGTAACTATTTAAAAACAGCCGCTAATTCTAATGATCAATTTCAACATCATGATCTTGATCTCTTGTGCTTATCTATAACATTTTAAATGTTTTTTTTTTTTGCGTTTTGCTTATTAAGGTTGTATCTAGAACTGTGAGTGGCAACGCTGGTTTCTCTGATGTAAAGACACTGACTGTGCAATGCTGGGACTTCCGAACAATCCGTTTAATATTCATGAACAAGCCTCAATATTTGAGCACCTTTTACATGCCTCCTGATCCCAACAGTATGCAGTCCAGTCCAGATTCACTTCTTGCCTCTTTGCAACCAAACAATCAGGAGTATCTGAAGCAAGCAAGTCTGCAGTCTGTTGGTTCTGATGGGGAAGGACTTGAAGGTTTAATTAATCAATTGGTTGAAGATTTAAGTCTAGACTAGGGAAACCGGGAATTGCCGCTCAAAAATATAAAAAAATCAAATTGATTTTGTTTTGGCTGGACTACGCTAGTGACCTCAGTAGTTTCTGGAAAACAGCTACTCTAGGTTGGGGGAGGAGAACTTCGGGAGTTTATTCTAGTATAGGTTGGCAAAATTCAACTGAACTAGCTTTGGTATAAACTAAGTGTTCCATGGTCCCAGTGGCACATCCACACCCAAAAATTCCTAATGTACCTAGCACATGTACGAAGCCTAGCATATGTTGCTGATGGTTATATTACATGGTGCTGTTGATATTGCAGACCCTTATCAAAAAATGTAAGTTATGTTTCAATGAATCTCTGTCAATGACCCCTAAAGTGCTTTCCTTAGTTTGGGGTGGTTAATCTGTAGTTAGAGGTCAGAATTTGGGGATAACCTCTTGTGGAACCTTACATAATGGCTGTAGCCAGAGTACATATTTATGGAATAATTTCACCTCCTAGGAAAACAGCTGCCAAACCAAAACTTAGATGTTCCCCCCACAGATGACTCAGCCGAAAATGTCACTCACTCTATCACACATTCCAGCAGTCGTAGCAGTTTTCAGATTTTGTCTCGCAGCAGCAGTAGCAGTAGCAGTGTGGCAGGTGTGAGCTCTCATGAGTCAGATGGACCCCTTCTTGTTCCCACTGGTACATCAGGGGTACTAGGTGCTGGAATACTGGCTGCAGCTTTCAGTGCTGTTTCTGGCTCGATAAATAGTGTTGCTGAGAGACTGAAGGCTGAGCCAATACCGCCTGCAATGTAAGCAATACATTATGTAGTAAATATTTAATTTTATACTCTAAAAATGATTCATCTTACAAAAGGGTTTTGGACTCTTTCCTTTTTTCACATTTTGTGTATGGAATTTGCAGGTAACCAGAAATACACACTCCTAAGGTTTCTCCCCCACAACCCCCCTTCCCCGTTCAGAGATAGGTCTATAAACTGGGCAAGATGTGTCAAGTGAACGTCATTATAACACCTAACACTAACTGGGTGGGGAGGGGGATCAACTTGAATTGCAATTTCCAGGCATAAAAGACAAAGTGTCCCAAACATTTTGACCAGGATTGTAGTGTAGCTCTGTACAGGACGATAATAGCTGTCACAGATGAGCTCCCCTAGGTTATTGTTTCATGCTCCCTTTAATCAGTTTATGTTAAACGTGGTTTAAAGTATAATAATAATTGTTGATAATAGTTAATCAATTATTGTTTTCTTGAATAACTTTGCTACTGATTTACTTCAATGCTACTACATTTCAAATTTATGGTAAGTATTAAGAGTACAAATTTAGGCTATTGATATATTGACGTATGAGCATCAGGGTTGTTGTGCTCCACAATTTAGTGCATGGTTTTAAATTGCACCCATTTTTTTTGTGCAGATTGCTAAAAGTACATCTAATTGCAGAAGTCATGACTGTTTGTCTTTTCCTTTAGGTTCCTGAACTATTACATCAGTGTATTTTATCAGAGATTAGAATATCTTGCTTTGAATGCTGTGGACAACCCTCCGTCAGTGCATTATGTGAAGTAAGTGAAGAATAACAATTTCCTAAAGTTCACAATATCAGCTTTAGCTAGGCATCAATGGGAGATGTTTCTGCCTCTCATTTGTCTATTTAACTTTGGAGAGCAGTGTTAATTGCATGCCATGCATGAGATCTATGTATCCTTTGTATAGTCAAAATGAAATGTTACCTAGTCCAACGTTCCTTTGAGCGAGGGGTGTGGGCGGTGCTTTTATGCAGTCTCTCCACGATATTGTCGTGCAGTCATTTACAATGCATGTGATTTACAATGATCACTGAATTCACGTGTTGAATAGCAAGAAACATGGATGCTCCCCTTTTAACTCCCTCCCTTCTGCTTGCACTCGTTGCGGTTTCTCGCATTCCTCCTGTGTGATGTTTAGAGTAGAAACGCTGTGAATTTTATTGGGAAGTGTTTCTCTTCTATGCAGGGCTTTTCCGAAGGATACAGAATTAAGTGGGTGGAGTGTATATGATTTTCATGAAGAGTTTGCAAGACAGCAGGTGCTTACACTGGTTGCCGGTCTTTTCGGTACAAAGTCGTTTCGATGCAAGTTTATTCAGTCGAGTTGTAGATAGTTGCAGGTACTTGACTTAACGAACGAAGAATATTCACCCAAAATGTTTTTCTGGTTCACGCGCAAACTATATCTAAAGTGATCGAAATTTTTGTGCAATTTCATTGCTTGAGTTTGTATCGAAACGACTTTGTATCAAAACCACCGGTCACCCTTACGTTTTGTTACTTGTAAGCGTGGACATAATGGGAAAAGTCTCTATCATATTGAAATCCGTCTCAAAAAATGTTATCTGCTGTTTTCCGTGTGTGTGTTTTGTTTTTTTCTTTGCTTGTTTATACTGCAGCCTCTGCGAGGAAAGGTTGTCTTTACTGTCCTTTAGAAAGATTATGACGGTCCCTTCTGGCCTTTTCAGTCTTTTCCCTTTCGCGTTTGCCTCGTTCACTCGCACGTAACATGCTTGCCTGTGCGGAAAAAATGTTAACACCTCTGATGTAATGCGAAACGTTCTGGATGAATGGGGGAATCACCATTAAGTAGAATAGCACGTGACAACATCGTTAATAAAGACGATGCAACCATCTACAACAATGATGAAAATCGTGACATTTCTTAGCTATTCTGTATTTGACGAGCCACATTATCTTAAGAAACCATAAAGAAACCTTAAAGCCTTCGAGTCTTCCCTCTAAACAACGTTTGGTGAGTTGATATTCATAGTACTTTCACAGTTTGTTTATTTTGCACCAGATGTGCGTAGGAAAGACAAAGAAAAGTGAATCTATAGTATGAGGATCGACTCAGCTGTGTGCAGCGTTTCGCGTTTTCATTAATGTACAGCAATACCCAGTTTCACACAAAGATAGTCTAAATTTAGGATTAAAAGATTCGATTTCTGGTACGGTTACACTGACGCATTCAAAATAGCTCATGCACGTTAAACGTACCTATGTTTTTCAAATGTGGCATTGAACTGTAAGAAGGACAATAGAGGTAGCTTTTTACACACTTTATACAGTTAATGTGGTCGTGTGCATGCGTGAAATTGTGGCCCTCTTAAAGCTTTGGGGTAGGTTTAGGCCTCCTTTTGTATTTTTAACCCTTTTCATCAATTATCAATGGGTGTTAAACACTTTTGTAGAGATCATTTATTTATATTTGTATATTTGTTAGGTATCTGATGCCTGGCGTGTGAGCGTTGTCAATCAGCAGTTCCTGCTTTGTAATTCGTATCCTCCCCTGTTTTATGTGCCTGCAGAAATACAGGTAAAGTTTATCTAGTGTTTATGCTTTAAAAGGTGACTCGTGGATTGCACCGTCAGTGACAATTGTAAAATTAGGGATTAGGGGGGAGGGGTGGGGGTGTAGGAAGGGGAGGTGCTATTCCTCGCGCTCGGCTGTTAAAGACCACAAAAGCACCCTTGGAAAGAATGGAGATGTGTCCAGTTGAGGTGGCGCGGGATTTTCCATCCTGGTCTCGCCTCTTCCAGTAATCCCTCGCGTCTTCGACTCTCGCTACGAGCGATGGCTCCACTTCCAAAAAGCACTCACTGAGTTCACCGGCTACGCAGGCTACGATGTAATGTTTCTTGCGTTAAAAGTTGATGAGGGGTGTTGCTTGTTTTTCCATCCGAGCGAGCAACATGTCTGTTTCAGGCTGTGCCAACTGGTTGCAAAGCTTCTGCTTTGCGCAACTGTGCTCAAAAGACATTGCAAAATGTCACCCGAAAACTAAACCTTGTCGTTCGATCAGTTTCGAGCTAAAAGTTGCACGAATTTGTTGCGTTATCGCTGGTTAAGGGTTTAGTTACAGTAATACGGGCAACAAACTCGTGCAACGTTTTGCACAACATTGTTGTTTTACGAGTGGCATAGTAATGTTGCTTGTTTTACCATTCGCGCGCTCATCTTGTTGCGCAACAGTGTTGTGCCAGCAACTTGTTGCTTAACAATTTGTGCAACCTATAACAAAGAATTATTCTACGGTCGGGCGACGAATTGCTCGCGCGACTGTTGAAACGAGCAGTATTGCAATGTGGCACAAAAAGCCGTTGCATGAATTTGCTGCCCGTGTAATCCGTTGCGTCCAAACAGCTTACTGTTTAGTTGATTTTCTTCCGCTCGGAGTGTCAAGAATTGTCATATTTTAGGGCTGCTTGTTATATTTTAGTGCTGCCTGTACATGAAGCCTATGTGTTAACTTGCACTCTGGTTACGGTATTTTTATTGTTGACGATGAAAGGTATTTTTGTTGTTATTATTTACAGGACTCTACATTAAGATGCTGTTCTTCATTTCGAAGCAAGGTATTTTCAATTGTTTGTGTGTGAATGTTTTTTTTGAAGAATTTCGAGTTTTGACTTTCTACAGTCGGTAAATGCGCTTATTTGCCAGTAAATCACGAACATGATCATGTTGTTCGTCAGTCCAATTATTCTGTTTCTGTTTTAACAGGGCCGTCTTCCTGTCCTTTGCTGGTACAATGCTAAAAAAGGAAATTTTATTATGAGGTGTGCACAGCCAAAAACTGGTCCTGTGTTTAAGGTAAATTGGGACGCGATACATTTATTTAATTTCCCATATACACTGTTGGCCTAATACACTCACTGTCAAATGTTTAATTTAAGAGCTATAGACTCACTCACCACCACAACTCGCGGGAAATACCTTCAGGCAGCTTTTGAATAGACCCCAAGGACCCCACCCCCCGGCGTAATCAATTAATGTCGGGACCAGGAAGGGGGAGGACCTGGTGAGGAATATCAACAATTTAGGATGTGGTACATTGGAGAACCGGAAAGAACCTTGAAAGGGAGACTTCCTTGTGTCAAATGATCCTCATCTCGCAGAAATCCTTATTTGGCGGAACCAGTTTTTTACATCAAATGTGAAGGAGAAGGACATGGTGAGGAATATTAAGACTGAGTGGAGTACAGAGTACATTGGAGAAGCGGAAAAAGCGTTGATAACGAGAGTCAGCAAACTTCCTCGATTCAGACGATCCTTCTCCTCGGTCTCAAAATATCTTTTGTGGGACACACCAGGGTCATACGTTCCTTATAAAAAAGCGTCAAAATCCTGGATAGAGAACAGAACTGGATCAAATATAGTGGGAAAGAAACCGTCCATATATTACAACTACAATCGTCTCCCAAAAAATTTTGACATCTTTTTCAAGACCGGGCCCCCACCTCTTATCTCAAGGTCTGGATGACCGCCCCCCCACCCCCCCCTCCCATCTGAAAGAGATTAAGATTCCCGTTTACTGCAAACGGCAAACGTCAGACTCAAGTTGAGAACTTCTCAGAATAGAAAATAAGCAGATAAAAACAGTCCCGAACGATTCCTATGGTTATAACCGGCATAAAACTACTTATTTTTGTGTAGAAGCATTACAAGTAAAGGGAACATAAGGGAAAAACTTGGTCTCGTGGTACAAATTCACGTCTGCCGTTTGGCGTAAAAGTGACTCTTAATCTCTCTATTTCTTTGGTTTTGATTAACGGTTTGCTTTGTCATCTTTTACCCCTGTACCTGTTCAGAATTCTATTGACGATGAGCTTGTCATAAGTAAGGCAAGAACATGTAACAAGTACACGGACAAGCTTGTTATATTTGATGCACGGTCGATGTTCGCTGCCGGCGGAAATATGTTAAAGGTTTGTTGCTCACTTATGCAGTCTCCTCTTTATTTTGAAACTAAAAATGACGTTCCTCAAGAGATAAGGTCTGCATTCCATATCTCAGAAGGCGGTCGGACACCTCGTGAGGTTTAGATAAAGTATTTGTTATCGCTTTTTAAGTAGAAGAAAAGCCTTTTCAGACGTTCTTTTCGCTACTGCATAAGCTGCGTATTTAACTGTGATGGTCTTCTCTGCATTTATCTTTAAAGCCTTTTTAGGTGCCGTTTAGAAATAGGAAAGCCAATTTAGTTGGAAAGGAATTTTAAAAACTTATGAAAATAGAGCTTCGATTATGTTTTTCACCGATTTCGGCCACGTATACACGGCAGCGGACGAATTTTCGACCGGCTGAAAAATTTGACTAGAAGTGACTTAGTTCACACAAAATCGTTCAATATTCTCGCTCTATTCACACGCAACTTTGAACGGCTAGACGTCTCTAGGTCTCAACCGGTCGAAAATTTGTCCGCCCGATACCGTGTGATCGTTGTGTTATAGTGATTATGGTAGGCACTGATATAGAATAGCTAGCTTTAATTTATTGTTTTTGAAACACCATGGAAATGCCATAAGATAAAGAAGCAAGGAAGCCAAAAATTGCAATTTAGTCAGAAAAGAAGTGAGAAAAAAGAACTGCAATTATGTTTTCTAAAACTTTAACTTAAGGTCTCTTCAGTGTGTAGGGTTTATGAGATGTCCGACCCCCCACTGAGCTATAAAATATAGACTCTACTAGCAGAGAAAATGTCAGCGTTAATACTAAGTGATAGAAGGTAGATAGACGTAAGGGCTCAGCCTTGAGTCTGCGCATTCGAAACGCTTCCAGTCCCCGGGTTTCTCTTACCTTGTGTCCCCAGTTAATAAGTTGTATTTTTTTTTGTATTGCAGGGGAAGGGAACAGAAGACACTATAAACCGTTATCAGGGTTGCCAGTTGTTATTCCTTGATATTCCTAATATTCATGCTGTACGCGATAGTTTGTACAGGCTGCAGGGAGTGTGTGAGTCCTCAGCACAGAAAAAATGGCTGTCGCACCTGGAGTCCACTCAATGGCTTGCGTACATCACTTCTATACTCAAGGTAAATTACGGAATAAAGCAGACGATCATTATCCGAGTACCTGTGTTAGAGACCACTTTTGCAAACAAACCAAAACGTTATTATCAGTCATATTAAGTGTATTGATGACAGTGATATCTCTCTTATAAACGGACACCCTTAAGACAGACACCTCGCTAAAATGGTCAACTAGAGTAGGTCCCTGCCTTTCTTTACTCCTTTTACTTTGACTCTTTATAAGACGGACGCCTCTCTAAGACGGACACAATAACATAGTGGCGATCCCAAAGGTGTCCGCCTTTAAATAGAGAGAGTTGATTGTAATCTATCCACCCCCCCTGCCTGGCTCCCTCCCCCCCCGCCAAAGAAAAAAAAACGCGTCAGTTTCCTAGTCAATTTTAGACGTTATTTTACCAACACAGCTTCATGTAGATAAATTCATTGTGGTTGTTGCATCTCTTACTTGTGTCTTAGGGGGCTGTAACAATTGCCAGGTTTGTCGATAAAGGTGCCGCTGCCCTCGTGCATTGCAGTGACGGATGGGATCGTACGTCACAACTGACGTCACTTGCTGAACTGCTTTTGGACCCGTACTACCGGACAATTACAGGATTGCAGGTACAGTGCAGTCAGAAACATAAGTATCTAAGGAGATGTTTATATGATACCGGAATGACGTTCATTACGGAAGGAGTTTCGTTCCAGTGTGAAGTTCGCATTGCATTCACATAATTAAATTGTCCGGCTCAGCCTAAGGCGTTCTCGCCCGCGTGGTTTTTGCGCCAGACCAGATACGCATGCGTCACTTGCCCCAAACTATACCAATCTCGACCCCAGAGTTCTTCTGTGCATGACGGCCAGTGAGAAGCGGAGTCAGAAGCGTAAGCACTAGGGTTGAGAATGCAGACTACACGATTTGCCAGATTCAATCCGGAACGAAGTTTCCCAGTTTCAGTTTACATGATACCAGAATTAAATTTCGTACCAGAACGAGAATTTCAGTCGGATTGAAAATCAGAACGAGCTCAATCCGGAATGACTTGTTCGGGGACGAAATTTCGTGTCGGTAAAATACAGAGGAATATATAGAGATGGAATGAACTCGTTCCAGAATGAAAGTCGTTCCGGTATCATTTGAATAGCCCCTAACCCACATTGACAATCTTTATGCGGGTACTAGGTCGCATTTAAGCCACGTGAAACCAAACTACTCCGTGGCGTAAATGACCGGGAGATTTCAAGGAAAACCTGGGGCGGAGAGAGACTTTGTAGAGCACAGTTTATTCTCTAAGGGAACAACACGATAGCGTTTTTCTAGAATTCGCACATGCGCGTTTCTTGTTTGAGAAACCGGCTGTGCAATTTCCAGTCAGAGAGCTCCTATAGTTCGAGACTTCAGCTGCTCTTCAAGTTCCTCTTCCTTTGAAGCATTCGATTAATTTTGTCGTCGCTGTCATTATTGCCGTTGTCAGGTTTTGATAGAAAAAGAGTGGATATCCTTTGGTCACCGATTCCGGGACAGACTTGGTCATCTATCGTGCCCTAGTCAGCGGTCTCCCGTGTTCTTACAGTTCTTGGACTGTGTGTGGCAGGTTAGTTTGTTTGTGTTTGTAAATCTCTCTTATCCCTTATGACTTCTGAATAACCTTTTTGTTTGTTTTAATTTGCTTTTGTCGTTGCGTGTCCTCGGCGCTTGTTACCAGCACTGCCAGGGACATGTTTTCCCGCGGTTTTTATTCTTTGCCTATCATTGATTTGTTCTTGCTACCAACATGGATGACGCATAGATCCGCATGGATAGTAACCATGTTACCCGGCAGCTACATTTTTCCCGCTCTTTCCATCTGCAACCAGTTGTTGCCAGCGACATATTTTCCCGCCCTTTTTATCCTTTACCATCATTGACTTGTTCTTGTTACTAGCGTGGATGACGGGTGGATAGTAACCATGTTACCCGGCAGCTACATTTTCCCCACTCTTCCCATCTTTTACTAGCTACATATTTTCCTGTGCGTATCTTTGACTTGTTCTTGTTACCAGCATGGATAGTATCCATGTTACCAGCTACATGTCTTCCCGCGTTTTTCTTTTGTTGAGTGTTCTCTGTTTTTTTACTTTTCTCCCTCGAGTTCTGATTGTTTTAGAGAATTTTTGATCGTTTCGTTTGTTTTTGACAGACCAGTTTTTAATTCAATTTTTATCGTCTTACAGATTTTACAGCAGTTTCCAACCGCCTTTGAATTTATTCCAATGTATTTAGTTAGGATAGCAGAGCATGTTAACTCTCAATGGTAGGTGAATGTTTTCTAAGCTTAGTTCACAATGCCGGTTTTACTGATGATTTCGTTTGGTTTTACAATCCTCGCATTCTTATCAAAATGACACAGTATTTGCTTGGGCTGTTTTCGATATACCGTAGGGATGGAAAAATTCCCAAAGCGGAAAATATCATTACATTCTTTAACTTCCCGTTTGGGTGGTGATCATGTAAACCCGACTTTTGCGTTATCTTTTGTTCTTTACACGATTTGCACTTGCAATGCATTCACCGAGCAAAAAAAAATAGTTTAAAGAACATTATGGTATTCAGTTTGCCGCTTTGGCCAATTGACTCGGGGTCGTTTTTTTAAACCGATGCCCTTATCATCGCAGAAATTTAAGAAAGTGCATCAACATAGACTCATTTCGAGTCTTAGATTAGACGTTTGGTTTTAAATATTGTCATTTTTTAAAATTACATTGGTCTTCAGTTACATCACAGTGATGTGTGTGCAGCAAAGTGTCTTTCTTTTACAGGTTTGGGAATTTCCTGTGTAATAACATACATGATCGACAGAAGCTTTCAGTTCCCACTGTCACAGTATCACTTTGGGCTCACTTAAAAGCTGATGAAGAAAGTTTCCGTAATCCAACCTACAAAAAATACACCGAGGTTTGACGGATTTTATTGTTAAATTCGACCAGAAATACAAAGTAACCCTAGCTTTTGTATAGTCGGCTGGTTCCTTTTCAAAGAGCATATATGAGACCCGTGAGGCAGAGCAAAAGTTACAAAAATAAATGTCAAACGTAACAGGGGATCTTGGCGGGTAGAGAAGGGGGAAGGTAAGGGCTGGTTCACACGAGCGACACGAGCGCCGATGCAAACGCAACCACACGCACGCAGCTTTTATAGTTAGCATCGCTTTTTCCAGGCGTTCACATATTGGAGCGTGGCGCGAAGTCAGAGTGTGGGAAAAAACGGGGGAGGTAGATAGGGAGAGGGACAGAGGGGGGAACCTTCGCTCTCTCTCCCTACCCCTCCCCCTCGCTGTTTTTCTGCTTACATCTATTTGCACCGTCCCCACAATCTGAGCGCCTGGAGCAGGCTACAATTAGCAACGCTAATAGCGACCCCATCACAGTTAGGTATCCACGCGCAGTGGAACGTCCTTTATCCCAACATGGCGGTCGAACATTTGTGTTTTAGTTTGCGTTGTTCTAGTTCATGAGAAATGCACATGCAAGCGTTAACGCCATCTTAATAAAAGGAAAAGTTTCCATTTGTTGCGTTGGCGCTCGCAGTAAATCAGTTCACACGCGTTTTCTTGTTCTTTTGCATTCGCTTGCCTTTGCGTCGCTCTTGTGAACTATCCCTAAACGCCTGCCGACAAGTCCAGGCATTTTTCAGACCGCCCGCGAAATTGTCGCACCAGGAACTTTTGGAAAATATGTTTGGCAGACCGATTCAGACATTTACGTCATCTTGTGCATTGCTGTTTGTATTTCCCGCTTCTCTTTTCGCTCCTTCTCGCTCCCCATGCTCGCTCTCCCCGGGGAAAGACTGCTCCGCTGGGTACAGTAACCACCACTTGGGGCTCGTCCCGATAATAAACGGTCCCGGAGAGCTGTTGTTGTTTACATTAAAGATCGAGGTATCAATAGTTTTGCAAATAATATGATAAAACTATCAGCCAGGACCCTCGCTTTTGATTTGAATATTTGATTTCAGGCCCGAAACGTTAGCGGGACTTTCGAGAAACGGTTCCCATATCTTTTTCTTGCATTACTTGTGTTTTCAGACATTATTTCCTGTTTCAAATCCAAGAAGACTTCAATTGTGGGTTGATTACTTCTTACGTTACGACGAGACCGCTTGGTCAACACAAGATCCCGCTATTCAGGATGAAGATGGCGACAATGAAGTAAGACAAGTCACAATCTTTTCCTACAACTTGTTCATGGTGGAAAAAACGACGTTTAACATACTTGTTGAAAAAAACTCAGTGAAATAATCTGTTGACCAAGTTATTTTGATATACGATATACGGTATTGTAGACGTACTGTACCATACCACGGTATGTCAAGCCAAGGTAAATCGGGCAACAAAACCGTGCAACTTCTTTTGCAACATTGCTGCAAAACGAGTCGAAAAGCAATGTTGCTCGTTTTACTTGCCTCCTTCAAACCTGTCTTTCAACAAATCAGGTTGTTACAGGTTGCGAAAATTTGTTGATCAAAGTAGAGAGTAGTTCTACTTTTTTGCAACAAAATCTGTTCATGTTGCGCGTTTTACCGGCTCAAGGCAAACCTGTTTTGCAGGAAGTGACGTAACTCCCGAGTATGGCATAACTCCCGCGTAATTTTATCCAATCAAAAGTCAGTATTCACGCAACTTGCAACAACCTGATTTGCTGCAAGACAGGTTTGATTCCTAAGTGTTAAAATGGGCAACATCGCTATTCAACTCGTTTTGCAGATATGTTGGAGAATAACTTCCACGTTATTGTCGCCCGTTTTACCGTAGCTTTAGACATGCCATACCGCGGCACATAGAGTCTTTTCATTGTGGTGTTACAATGGCTTAGCTCAGTCACAAAGGCCGCATTAGGATGACAACATTGCCGGTTTTTTTACAGAACAACGGCCGAGTGACCCACATTGCGCCATTTACCAATCGAGCGCCGCGTGACTGGTAAATGGCCTTAGCCTTACCCCTTGAAGAAAGCAGTTGTGAGGATAAGGGAGCAAGGTTGGGGCAGTGGTGAGAGCACTCGCCTCCCACCAGTGAGGTTTTTACTCCTGGTACTCCGTTTTTCCTCTCTCCTCAAAAATCAACACTTCCAAATTCCAATTCGATCTGGAACGCACTAGCCTTCCACGCAGACCTTCTTTTGGCTCGTCACGCAATCCTCCCCCAACGAACGTGGGGCAGGAACGCGTGACGAAACCCCAAGAACGTCTGCCAGGGAGACTAGGAGCGCACGGACACACGTTTCTAAGAACTCTTAAGTGCTTCTTGGGCAAACAAATAGCAAAAAACAATAACAACAACAACAACAAAATTTTATGATAAAATAATTCCTTTTTTGTTAGCCAATAAAGACATGTACTGTTGCTGCTTGTTAATTTCAGCCGGTTGTCAGTAAGCCACTGGATTCGGTTATTTGGGTCCCGGATGATCGAGCCCGAGAATGTGCCGACTGCAAGCAACGATTCACTCAGTTTAGGAGAAAGGTATTATTTCAAGCATTTTTTTTCTGTGAATGGTTTGATTCTTTACGCCACATAAGTATTTGGTTGTGACTTGTTAACACCTCCCACTAACTGGTTTTCTTTTTTCTGTTTTCACTATGAATTGCCTCTGATCAGCACCACTGCAGGTTAGTCATCGTTCCTACACATGAAGATATGTACCATGCATCTAGAATTAGCCCAAAGTTACCCTTTAGTTACCACAATCCTGTCAGTGCGTATCCGTACCGTTACACTTGTTTACAAACTCATTCAGACCCAGGGCCCGGTTGCATAAAGCATAAAGATTAAGGGCCTGTTTACCTGAAGGTGGGGGACCCCAGATAGGTGAAGTAACCCGCTTAGGTGAGGTAACCCGCCTGTCCATATAATCTCCCATTTTAATATGATCACCTTTACATGTTAGGTGATGTGACCTGCCACATGTAAACAGGCCCTTAGTGTGACTATTCTGCACCCGTCCCCCGAGGACCGAAAGATTTTCTCGTGTTTTCATTGTGTTTCCTATACTCGTTAATCGGCCGGGTCAAAATTCTTCGAAATAACGGGTATTCCCCAGAAAATTCGTACTCAATCTTAAGTTGCTTTATAAGCAGCTGGGCCGAGAGGGTCGCTCGCCCGCTGCAAAGTTGCTCTCGCCAGTGATCACGACGTCCAGTGACGACGTAGGTCTCTTGTGAAAGGGGTGTTTGAAATAGGCTTGTATGTTTTGTTTTTCCAATTCAGACCCCCTTGATGTTCTCCAGGGAATTAGCCTTTTGTCTTTTCATAAACCATGCATACATATGCTCTTGGATGCGCCTGCATAGGACAAAATTTGAAAGAAACAGTTCTCTGGGGTAACATCACGTGGTCTCAAATGGGAAAACAAAGTGGCATATAAGCTAAAAAGGTCTATTATCTTACGCCTTAAGTAGCTGCTCCCATGCGGAGTTCCGTCCAGTCTATCCTGCGTAGCTGACGGGATTGCTTGACGGCTGCGGGGTCTTGACTCATCCCGCAGCTCCACCCCGAAGACAAATGTTCGCAGCGCCTGTAAATCCCTAGCCCGCGAATACTGCCGTCTATCCTCGCTCCTATTTGCTAGAGCTCTAGCGGCGAGGAGCGTGGAGAAACGGCTGTATTCTCAAGCTAGGAAATCAAATTCCCTCTCCTAACGTCTCCCGTTAGTACCTATAACTCCTAACGTAACGCAAGTACAACTAGGTTTCTTGACATCAGACACATGGTGTGAAAGAGAACTGTGTTGGCCGTCATTGTTAAAGGGACCTTAAGCAACGAGAACGTTGACGTCGCAGACGTAAAAAATGGCAACCGGAAGTTGGTATTTCCTCTCTTTCAGTGCCCTGACTTGACAAACTCGTGCAGTGGGACGTAAAACAAAGGAATCCAGATTCATTGTGTGAGAAAGAATCGTTCCACCAAACGAGACATCTAACTTCCCGTTGCTATTCATGACATCCGGGACGTCAGCATTGTGCCGGGCGGTATAAGGTGTTGCGAGTAGGGGTCGAACCAGCGACCCTCGTTAACTCTGCTACACCGCCCCGCTATCAGCTGTATGGGCTAATACGAGATATGTTTTGTATTTGCAGAGCGTGTGGACAAGTATTCTGTAGAGACTGTACAAAGCAGAAGATTCCTCTGCCCCAGTTTGGTTACATGAACCCTGAAAGAGTTTGCGAAAACTGTTATCAACGAAACACTATCAGACAAGCCGATGAAGAGGTTGGTTATGTCTGCCTTTCTCAGTAAGACCCGAAACTGATTTGTTTAATTTCTGGTCTCTATGTCATTTCATTGTGGTTTTGCGCTGCCAAGTAGCTAAACTACCTCTACCACGAACTCCGAATAACCAGCTAAGCTTTCAATACCCGCGTCCTCTGCATTCCGCGTGACTGTTTAATCTCCCTTGCTTGTTTTCTTGCGTTTGCAAACACGTTTACTTGTGCTTACAACAGGCCATTTCCGAGTAGCCCCTAGCCTCTGTTTCAGAGCGAGGCTAAGTACCAAACGATTGATTTGAAAATGACTTTGTAATCTCATGCAAATGAAACTCATTTTCGCAAGAAAGATTTTGCACTTAGCCTCGTTTCGGAAGTGAAGGTTTTTTTCGGCTTAAAAGGTTTCGTTCTTGTTATTTGTCGCAGGATGAAGACGAATTTGAAGTTATAACCCTTCCAAATTTACCGGGTTGATGTTGAAACAGGACTAGAAGGCGGTTTAGTGACAGCTCTTGGAAAAAGAAGTCAAGTGTATATGTCCTCCGGGCGAAACTGATAGCTACTGCGTGGATAAGCTATCGCGAAGTTCAAGCACTTGTTGCATCCTTCTCTGAAAAAATCAGTCTTCCAGACTGAACAAAGGTTGATCACATTCTAGGACTTTTGCAATGCGTAAAGGACGCGAAAGTGAGACTTAAAAATGCTGAAATGTTTTAAATTATCTTGGAAGAGAAATCTCCTTGACGTTGGTGCAAATAGCTACATGTAAATTACTAAACTATATAAAATATCTACATATTTTTAATAGTGGTATCTGGATAGAGTATATATGACCATATATAGTTGTTAATATTCGCATTGGTAACTGTTTAAGAAATCAATTGTAAAAATATTTCTCATATAATTGATTGTTAGGGTAATATTGCAATTAAGATTTTATTTGAGATTGAAATTTGTTAAACTATTATAAAGTTGTAAAAATTTCTATACGTTTTCTGTTGATGTATATTGCGTTTACATGTTGCAATATCTTTATACTACATTTACACCCTTTTACATTATTTTTAGTATCACGTGCTAATGTTCCAATCCTAAAGGTGTTTAAATCACCTAATGAAATGTTTTTAATTTAGGCAATCTTGAGGAACTGAAATGGAGGCTTGTTGTAAATCAAATTTTTTGGGTTTTGGTTTTGTTTTTGTTTTTGTTTTTTTTTATTGCGTGGCCTCTCCTTTACTGAATGCCTCGCAGCTATTCAGCCCGCCACTCAGAGCGCACATTCTCTAATCTAATGTGGCTGACCCTTAGAGTGCATGTTGATGACGTTGTGCCAACTTCATCAATTGCAGCCTTAAAGGCAGACCCCTAAACTGTGCGTCGCGCAAATTTCACCAAACGCATTGCTAAAAAGCGCTTTATCATTCCAAAACTATGCGGTTTATTGGCTAGAATATCTTGCAAACGAAGGAAAGACGAACAAGTAGTTAGTGGTTCTCGAAATAACATGAAAGATGACTCTTTTTTAGAAACTCACTTTTCTTGACTCTCTTATCGACGAAGCATCGATTTATGGGAAATTTTCCTTTAGTTGTAGTGTTGCGGGATAGACTATTGTACAACATTTTCGGACGTTTCAGACGGTGAGCTAAAGCTGGTAACCATGTGGACGCGTAAACCATCCAAGCCCCGATATCCGCATACAGATTCTCCAGACTGATCTTCATATATTTCCTTAAGAATTAGTTAAGAGAATTTGTTTAAAGATCAAAGTATTTTCCTGAAGGTGATCATTTTATTAATTCTTATAAGCTTTTGTCTTAATGATGTACTGATATTGTTGGGTGAAAATTGATGTTGGTGACTGTGGGGACTTGAAGAGAACTACAATTTCATTTTGTGGACTCTGGAGAAAATTCTGTGGTGTGACCACTCTGCTAAAGTTACTTTTGACATCTCTTGCTTGGGACTATGTGTTTTTGCAGTATTTTATGAAACGAAATCTTTTTCTCTCTTTAATTCTGATTTTTGAAGTGACTCTTGTGATTATATCTGAAGACGGTTGCCGTATATAGTTTTTTAAAATAAAGACTTTCAATACCACATTAAGTCAGATGTTCTTATTTCGGAGTAAAACCTCGGAACATTAATCAACCTTTATTATTAAGAAAAATAATACAAAGTTCTAGTTTTTTTTTTGTAAATGTCGATGTACTATCTATATTGTTATATGAAGTTCATTGCATCTGAATATACTGAACATAGATAATTAAAAAACACGGGCAAAACGCCTTTCATCAAAACTGAGTGATACAAATGAACCAGTGTGCCATTAAGTTAATGGTATTTACCTTAAAGCTTTAGGTCAACTGTGGGCTGTGTTTACTTAGATCTTTGAGACACAAACCAAATATCCTAAATTAATATTTGAACACGTTGAAATGCCAAGCACGTACCATGCCTACGTTTGTGGCAAGCACGTACAAAGGACGTACAGTCATGTTGGTGCATGGTCTTAAATCGTTCCTTTTTTATGCGAAATGATAACTTAGAAATATTTATAGAATAAACGATCAACTATTTGCAAATCTGAGAATTTTAGTGATAGACGTTAACAGTTCTTGACGTTTCCAGAACACGGGATAACTTCATTTCCCTTTTCCAAATAGGTGGTTTCTAGTCATTCGTCCGTTTCCAAAGACAACACGTGTAATTAATCCTTACAGGACCTAAAAAAGTGCATACAACGCGAAACAGGTGGCCGGATGGAGAACGTGTTCCAAGGGTTACTATTTCTCTTTATATTGTTGTGAAGTATTTTGAAAGTTATTTTAAGATCTGTCTCATCTTTTAAGTTTCGTTTTTGTTTTATCATAAAGTGAGTCAAGGTTAGTCTTGATTTTGACCTGTTTGCCCACATAGGGTTCCTGTTTTGATCTTTTGTTTTTACTTGTACGTGACTTTATGCTTAGCTCGCAAAATGTAGTTAAGTCCATTTTAGGATTATTCTTCGCTTGCCATTGTCAGATCAGTGTTAGTTTTTCATAGGTGGTCGTGTTTCTGATGTTAGAGCTGAGCTTGGTTCATTAGTCTCGTTGAATTTCCTATTGGGGTTTGTTAACCAGCGTTTTAAGTTTTTCATTGGTTTGTAGCTTCTTACATGCATGTAGATTCAGTAATACCAAAACATTACCCACTCCGAATTCACCTTGATTTTATTCCCACGGTCAGCTAACCCAAACATATCCAGCTTTGGCTATAAAAAGCGCTATTTGACTTCTTAGTTTTAGAGTAAGAATTGGGCGGAGAAGAAGAGTAAGAGGATTAAGACTGTTAGCAAAAGTCAAAGAAGAATGAAGTCCAAGATGTAAATCAGCTTCTTGGTACCTCATTGTGTAGCGAGCGAGTTGCTCGAACACACCCCCACAGTATTTATTTTTGTAGTCAAAATTAGGCTTCTAAACCCAACAAAATGTTCAATAACACCGCAGCGCAGCGGAAATATTTCGGAACAGACCAACGTGAATTTTTAAGAAAATTTACTTAGATCTGAGAAACACAAAAGTCGGGCTTCACTTTTCCAAGACTTTCTCCAGCTTCAGCGAATCCTTCATTTGTCATCCTTCAGCTTATCACCGCAGCCCAAAACGCAGTTTTGTTAGTGCTGTCATTTCCCTTTTGACGCGAATCTGCTGATTTATCAAACTGGGCGATTCATTCCTCTTCAAAGCCAAGATAAGATAATGAAGTGTTTCCTGCAAGCCGTTTGTCGAGGGCACAAAAAAACGGACAGTTGTTGAAACGCGTTTGAATTATTTTCGCCCTGCAATATAAATTATATTGCCTTTACGAGAGTCTACATGAAAGCCAATACAGCTTAACATTTCGGATCTTCAGCTGAATCTGATTCTGGCTGCAGGAAATAGATTTTTGGAAAAGACATTGCTTTTTGAATTTGTCTTTTTCAAAAGAGCAACTTGACCTTGACATTTTTTTCTTCAGAACAAAAGGTGTTAAATTTCCGTTAAGGTGATATTACACGGAACGATTCGCAACGACGAGTTTTAGCGCAACATAACGTTGCAATATTGGAACAATGTTGCAGCCATTCGAAACAACGTCTCAACAATGATCCAACGCTGTCTTGTGCTAAAAATCGTCGTTGCGAATCGTCTCGTGTAACATCACCATTACTGCGAGATTGAGGAAACATTGAAATCAACAATGCTGTAGGCTGTTCAATATTTCCCCCATTAAACGCGGAAGATTCGCAAATATTTATCGTTGTATAATAAGCTGTAGCTATAATGGCAAGACATAAGGCTTGCAATGAATAAAAACCCTCGCTCTTGTAAGAAAAATTAAGTTTCCAACAACACCGTGTGCACTGGATAAAGTGTGCAATTAACAGCAAACGATCTATAGATTGGAATGGTTATGAAGACTCCCGTCTGACTCCTTTGTAACACGTTTTTCTGGACCTGACAGTGCACAACGTTCAATAGCACTACTATCATTTTCAACTTATTGACAAGTAGGAATGTGGCATCAATTTATTCACAGTCACAATTTGTGAACAGAAAACAAGGTATTTTGCACTGTCAGGGAGCTTCCAACGTAAACTGCAGCACTGTTGACTTTTTACCTTTGATGTTTGTCGCTTTTCACACCCAGTCTCCTACTAGCTATGGTTCATGCAATAAATTTTAATTACTTTGAGGCTTCTGAAGATTCCATACAGATTTACATTCTATACATCTACTTTTATAACCGAAAAGATTTTCTTTTATTTTGCCGATTTATGCCTGAAGGTAGAGGCAGTACTTAGAAGCGCATTCGGGTAGTGCAGGTAATTACGGTTAGCTTTTTTAGTAGAAGTCACTTATTTGATCTCTTCCTTATGATTTGCAAGCTCAGTTGATTTTGATTGGTTCACTTTCGTGATGGTGCATGCCTGTTCAATGTGCAATGGCTGAATGTTCGAATTAATCAATATTCATTTGGCGGTCAGAATAAATTAGTTTGCTTTATTTATCCTTTGTCTCAAACTGTGGGAATTAGCACAAGACAACGGAAAAGACGTTTCTTAAAATAGTTGCTTTTTTTAATAAAACATTGCAAAAAAATGTGCCAATACTTATCTACCTCCTACGAATGAAGCTATTTAGATCTGACAACTTTGCGATGTATCTTTTCGTAACAAAATATTTTCTAGGTGTCCTTACGGAATGTCCTCACGGAACTTTACGTGATGTAGTTAGGAAATGTTGAAATTTTCAGACAGACCGAGACAGTGAAAATATAGTTTACCGGAGATAAATCAAACAACAATAAAAAGGGACGTTAATTATTATCATTACTTTCAGCGTGATATTGTTGATCAGTTGGGTGAAGTGTTTCATAGATTCATTTTATCCTATACAATAGGCTAGAACTAACTTTAACTGCGAGGGTCTTCTTTGCACTTATTCTTTATTCCGCAATTCTAATATATGAAATTCATACATCAGGGGCACCCTACGTCAATTTTCGGAAAATATCTGTTCGGAAGACGATTTGAGATCTAGAATTTTGGGAACATTTGTTGTAAAATTTCTTGCTTGCCTGCCTCTCCTAGGATTTTCGAACATCTAAAAAATGGTATAATTGCCTATTTTTAACGGATTTTTACCCTAAAAAGGTCACCTAGAATTTTCGGGAGCCTTTTTTCTGGCTGAAATTTTCGAAAAGGTAAGTTTTGATCCCTATAATTTTCAGATCACTAGATTTTCAGCTAGGAAATCCGAACAGATGAAAAATTTTTAGGGGATAAAAAGATGCCTATATCTACCATTTACATACTAAAATACGTTTAACAATGCTGTTTTTAAGTGGTTTTTAACTATATTCTCTTTGGGTGCCCCTGATACATTCATTATTATACAATTGGCAATATTGGATACTTAGGATTTATGCACCGTCTCTTCATTTGTACATAATTTTTTAACGCATTTGTTCTCTTTAGTTGTCTTTTTTTTTAAAAAAAAAAAAAAAAACTTATCACACAGCCACTTGAAAGAATTTTCTTTTACTCCACCACTAAACGCCTTCCTATTCCGTGTGCCTTCGCATTCTCAAGCTCGATCCATTCACTTAACCCTCTTTATATTCTCAACGTGCAGTTATGAAGGTGCCAGCGACATGGAAAGAAGTTCTAACCAGTTTTCCTTGTGGATATAATTGTTTGTCGTGATCATTAACATGAAGTCCAGTCTCTCAGCAGTGCTTCCACAGAGGATCAATCAGTTTTCTTTACTCTACATGCCACTTTAATTGTTCCCTTGAATTTCTACTTTTGGAATATTACATAACTAGTAAGTTATCTTTTTACCTCCCTCGACTACCAACTAAGGCAAACTGATAAAATACTGAAAATTATACCGGCCGCCATTTCCCCTTGTTTATCATTTTGCTTCACTTATAGGGAAGCAGTTCTTTCACAATGTACCATTTGTTTTTCAACATTTGCGATTTTTTATCTTTTTTTGGAATAGTACACAAGCCAAGACAGACACTACCAAAATACAATACTGAAAATTGTACCGGGTCATTTCCTCTCATTTCTAAAACGACCTTGAGAGACCCGAAATTCAAAAACACCGTAAGGAAGTCAGCTAAGCCATAAATTTCACTTGAACTGTTTTATTGTCAAAAGAGTGCTTTATTTTTTGTTGATCATACAGAAAGAGACTCAATAACTATTTTCTCTGCTGGATGGTTGATCACTCCGGGAAATGAACAAAAAGTTAGCCTCGGGCTTTTACATTATCATCCTAGGAATGATATAAGCTACAAATAGATAAAAAAAAAAACGAATCCCTGTATACTTTGGACTTTCATCAATAGATGTAAGATATATATTAGGTTGTAAAATATCTCCATCCAGCTTAACATGCAATCAAACAGAAACTTAACTATGGGCAAAAAAAAAATTAAGTTGTTATTTTTTTAAGTTTTCGAGACGACTTTTGGGGACGTAATTTTATGAAAAAATGGTTACCGAACGTCGCCTGTAGAGTTAAACATGTGAGTCTCTAGTTTGCATGAAAGCGACGCGTGCAATTTTTCTATCAGCAGGTGCTAGGTTTCATAATCAATGAATCGACGGAAGAAAGTGTCAACTGCATTACAGTGTATTTTCAGGGCTAGGTTTAATGATAAAAAGTGGCCTCTGTTTAAGGCTGTTAGTGTCGGATGAGACACGCTGTAACCACCTGAAAAAACTTTGAAGTGGACAATTAATAAACTAACATTTGAAATCAAGTCTATTTCCTTTATTTTTCTTTAGCAAATTTGAAAACAATGAAGTGAAAGTTCTGTGTTAGTTCTCTCGGCTCGTTTGCGAACAAACTACGCGATTGGTCGATTTGGTGTTGAGACAACAATTTCATGAAAGGCCGATAACCTCTAAACGACCAATCAGAAGACTGTATGAATTTTAAATAAGTGCTTTAAAAGAAATTTGAGAATTGCCAAATTTCGGCATTGATTTTTGGCCTCTGAAAGGTTCAGATGAATCACAGCCGCGTCGCAAAATGTCGAAATCAAAAACGTCAAATTTGACATTGGTTTTGGCGACTTGGTCTTCTTCACTTCCCGATAGTGTTTTAAACAAGACAGAAGTTTTCCCATTCTCTGATGGCCAGCAGCACATTGTGCGGCCGTATTCAAAAGCCGAAGAGTCATTGTTTCTTCGTTTTTCCTTCTCTGCTGTTGTTCTATGCACGATCGTTGGCAGTCTCTTGGTCTGTGCCGTCAACATAAAGAACAAAGGGATGCTTAAGAGTCCATACAACGTGAACATATTTCATCTGGCGATTACCGACTTGCTAGTTGCATTCGTGGTTTTTCTGACACCAGGATTTACTTTCCTTGAGATACCCTCTCCGCCTGAGGGAAAACTTAGCGGTGAAATATTTTGCCGTATCATTTCATCGCACTTTTTAACCTTCAGTACCGCGACTACGTCAGTTTACATCACCGTGGCCCTCGCCACCGAACGCTGGTACGCAGTTGCCAGACCACTGCAATATCGTGCCAAATTCCACAAAAAACGACTCATTTGCGAAGTTTTTATAATCTGGGGATTATCTCTTTGCGCGAACGCTTTGCTGCTTTTCGAGGTAAAATACAACCCGGAAATGGACTCCTCCAAGCGCTGCGAGGTCACAAAGATTCCATTCACGGATTCTAACACGTTCAAGATCCTGGGAGTTGCTCAGTTTCTGGTGAAGTTTCTTATACCGTTTCTGGTCACGTGTAACTTGTACTATCGCGTGTTAAAGGAGACACACAAGTCACGCGTAATGAAATGTAGGATCGGCAATGACATGCGTCATAGCATATCACGGATGGCAGCTGTGGCCACACTTGTCTTAACTATATGCTGGCTACCGAATCAAGTGTATTACGCCGGCTTCGCGTTTGACTTGGTCACACTCAATACTCCAGTCCATTACACCACCATTGTGATTGCAATGATAAACTCTTGTCTGAACCCGTTCATTTTTGCGTTTCACTCAGTACAGTACAGAACTGGATTCAGAAACCTCTTTTGTGGGGTATCAGAAGATGACAAACTGAAGCGAATTAGGGGATTGAGGAAATTCAGGTTCACACAGTTCTTTAATGCATCCAGCATTTCTGCGCCCCTTTCGCCCGGTTTAGGTCGTTCTTTTCGGGCCAATGAAAGGCCTCATAACAGCGTGGACATTTCACCATAACGTGAAATGTGAGACAATTTTTTCTCTGTTTTACTACTGCCGTATAAATTCAAGACGAAAAGCCGTCTTGAATGGCGCCAAAAGGGAATCAGGTAATGGATTCATGATAATCAACGGCAGCANACAAACTGAAGCGAATTAGGGGATTGAGGAAATTCAGGTTCACACAGTTCTTTAATGCATCCAGCATTTCTGCGCCCCTTTCGCCCGGTTTAGGTCGTTCTTTTCGGGCCAATGAAAGGCCTCATAACAGCGTGGACATTTCACCATAACGTGAAATGTGAGACAATTTTTTCTCTGTTTTACTACTGCCGTATAAATTCAAGACGAAAAGCCGTCTTGAATGGCGCCAAAAGGGAATCAGGTAATGGATTCATGATAATCAACGGCAGCAAAGAAAAGTGTTTCTCTGGCGATAAAGAACCAAGGGCTAGAACGGTACACGATATCAAAGCAAAGTTCTCCTCTCCGTTAGTAAGAACTGAAACAAATCACACTGTACAAAAGTACAAAAGAAGCAATATTATGGCAGACGTATAAAAGTAAGAAACATTGGCACAAAAGCATGTAAATAAGTTCACAATTGACATGATTATTATGTAAATAAGTTCATAATTAACATGATTATCATCCATGGCATGATTTAGCCAATTTGAAAGGTTGCGCGTGCGAATGGGTCACTGTTGTGTCGCACGGTACTATGGGACTATTGAGGAAACGCTGTTGTTTCTTTAATTGCTGTTACGAAGTTGCGCAGGAAACTGGGTCAGTGTTGTGCCAAAGTGCACTATGGGACTGTTTTGGGAGCACTATCGCTTCTTTTATTGGCTGTTCATGCGCGCGAGACTGGGTCAGTGTTGTGTCAAACTGCATTATGGGACCGTCTTAGGAACGCTATCGCTTCTTTTTAAGTTTAAGTTTAAGTTTAAGTTTAATAATACTTTGTCATGCTAATAGACGTGAATAAATTACAGAAAATACAAAAAGTTCATGACTGGAGAATAATTGGGGGAAACTAGTTTCCCATATAAAGAATATTTTCCAATATTAAACATACTAAAACTAAAGAGGTAAAATTTAAATGCGGCCCGAAACTAACCTGGCTAATTAAATTGCATACTAAAATTGACACTAAAAATTAAGAATAGAATCTAGATACGGCCCAAAGCTAACCTAATTAAATTGCATACTTGTTAGTCACGAGTTACACCTGATTTAAAATTGACACAAATGATCTAATAACTGCTCAACGAATGTGCATACGTAATGTTCGATGCAATACTATTCCAGTCTGTTAAGTAGCGATTGAAAATTAAAATTTATCGTAATTTGTACATGTCTTCTTAGGTCTTATATTAAAATTATGGTTCCTACGCGTTTTCGCTAAAACATTAAAATCAAAAAACATATGAGGATCTATGTCAAAGTGTCCGAGTAATCTTGTACATCTACACTAAGCAGATAAACTTCCTTCGCCATTTCAGGACCCCAAGTCTCTCCTGATATTCTTTCTCTGATCCGCAAATGACTCGAGTGGCTCGTCTCTGTATCGACTCTATACTTTTGATGTGCCTTTTTTTTGGCTATTACAAAGTTGCGGGCGGGACTGGGTCAAACTGCACTATGGGATTGTTTTGGGAACGCTATCGCTTCTTTTATTGGCTATTACAAAGTTGCGCGCGAGACTGGGTCAGTGGTGTCAAACTGCATTATGGGTTTGTTTTGGGAACGCTATCGCTTCTTTTATTCGCTATTACGAAGTTGTGCAGGAAACTGGGTCGGTTTTTTACCAAATCAGCATCATGGGATAGTTGTGGGGAAGCTATCTCTTCTTCTTCGTCCTTTAAAAGAGGTTCCCACAACGACTCAGTCTCAAGCACAACCTCCAAATAGCCAAGACAGAGCGCCCAAAAAAGGGCATTGATGAACATATATCCCCTCAGAAGAAATATCCCAAGAGTGAACAACATCAATTTTCGCCAAACATTCACGTGCATTAATAATAAAGACGAAAGGTTCATGGGAATTGGTAAGTTATCACCAAGGTGAAAGTACCTTCATTTTTCAACTAATTCTTTCAAGGAGATTCTGGAGAATTTGTATGTGAATATTGGGGCTTCAAAAATTTGTTTTCCACAAAAAAAGCACGGTCTTAGTCCTATAACCTTCAGAAATTCCATTTTTTATATGTACCCCTTCCGAAAAAGTTTGTCAATGGAAGGAGAGGAGGGTTTATTGGCCTGAGGCTCTGCCAGTGGGAGCAGAATCATTTCCACATTGCATCATGTTACGTCTAGACGAAAATTCAGAAGTGACCGTTCTGTTTTCTCGTTGTTCCCAGAATCCTCTGCAAGTCTCCTAACTTAACCCAGGATTTCATCACGTTAAATAACAAAATACACTTATGGCCTGGGAACAAGTCTGCAGGGAGTGGTTAATACACAGTAACTTTAACATATCTAACAACATAATATTCTTTTATTATAATTGTCATCTTTTTGAGCAATTTATGTTCACACAAAAATATAAATAACTTATATACAAGAGTTGCAACAGTGTTATCAGCCATTTGGTCCTGCCAAATGGTGGACATGGATTTTTGAAGGGGCAGCATCACGATAATTCCCCCGAGGTTCTGTGTTACCTTTTCTAAAATTATGCAGGTACACTCCCTGAAATTACCTTTGAACAAGAAAGTACAAATTAACTCCCTGAAAGCAGCCTGCACAGCAAGCGCTTCAGCGCGAGTTCGTCAACAAAGTTGGGACGAGAGCAAAAAAAAAAAGACAACTTTCGCGCTATAACTCGACTGGAAACGCTTGCTACACAGGCTACTCTGAAGGTGCCAAAAAAAATTATTGGAAATTTTTTTTAAATAACATTGTTCATCTTCAAAATGTCAGGCCTATTTTCAGTTGTGTGCTGAGCAATATAGGTTTTTAGTGGAAGAAAGGCTGACAGCGACTTTGTTGGATAAACTTGATATACCAGTGAACCTCAGTCCCATTCATATGCATGATTTACATTACAGTGAAAGCTCATTAGCAGACAGATCTACTTACAGCCACCTGCACAAAACCCCGTTTTTCTACCTCCAATACACACTGTATTTTCACATTCCTGTTTGCGGGCAGCTCCAGTTACGGGCACCTTTTTTTGGATCCTGAGGGTGTCCGCTCACAAGAGCTTCCTCTGTATGCAAAAAGTAGTAGCGGTTTGGTCACAAAAAGGTCACCTCCAGCCTTGCTTCCACTCAAGGCTAGAATACTCAGTGCAAAACTATATTGTGACCTAGTAGTTAAAAATCTGACTTCTTTCCTACAGTTCCTTAGCCAAAGACACTAAAACAGTTTGCATGTTCTATTATAGTAACTTTTAGCAAACACATGCATTCTCAGGAAATTTCCATTGATAACAACACTTCTGGTGGACTTGCAAGGAGTTCTTGATCTTGCTGACACTGCCCCCTTAAGACAGTACATTATTTGGCAATCAGCCAAGCAAAACACTAACTTGAAAAGCTTGGCATATTCCTGTTGTATTATGGGTTCATGCTGCTTCAAATAAAAACATTCTTTTTGATATTTCATGGTAAATATGTGATAAGCAGCCCATCAAATTCTGATATTTTTTAAGTTCCTAATAGAAGATTCACCATAACGTGAAATGTGAGACAATTTTTTCTCTGTTTTACTACTGCCGTATAAATTCAAGACGAAAAGCCGTCTTGAATGGCGCCAAAAGGGAATCAGGTAATGGATTCATGATAATCAACGGCAGCACAGAAAAGTGTTTCTCTGGCGATAAAGAACCAAAGGCTAGAACGGTACACGATATCAAAGCAAAGTTCTCCTCTCCGTTATTAAGAACTGAAACAAATCACACTTTACAAAAGTACAAAATAAGCAATATGATAGCAGACGTATAAAAGTAAAAACGTTGGCACAAAAGCATGTAAATGAGGTCACAATTGACATGATTATAGTGTAAATAAGTTCATAGTTAACATGATTATCATCCATGGCATGATTTAGCCATTTTGAAAGGTTGCGCGTGCGACTGGGTCACCGTTGTGTCGTACGGTACTATGGGACTGTTGTAGGAACGCTATATTACTTCTTTAATTGCTGTTGCGAAGTTGCGCAGGAAACTGGGTCAGTGTTGTGCCAAATTGCACTATGGGACTGTTTTGGGAGCACTATCGCTTCTTTTATTGGCTGTTCATGCGCGCGAGACTGGGGCAGTGTTGTGTCAAACTGCATTATTGGACTGTCTTAGGAACGCTATCTCTTCTTTTTAAGTTTAAGTTTAAGTTTAATAATACTGTGTCATGCTAATACAAGTGAATAAATTACAGAAAATACAAAAAGTGCATGACTGGAGAATAATTTGGGGAAACTAAATTCCCATACAAAGAATATTCTCTAATATTAAACATATTAAAAATAAAGAAGTAAAATTTAAATGCGGCCCAAAACTAACCTAATTAAATTGCATACTAAAATTGACACTAAAAATTAAGAAATAGAATTTAGATACGGCCAATTCTTTAATTAAATTGCATACTTGTCACTCACGTTACGCCTGATTTAAAATTGACACAAATGATCTAACAGATAGGACTTAAAACTGCTCAAGGAAGGTGCATACATAATGTTCGATGCAATACTATTCCAGTCTGTTATGTAGCGATTGAAAAATGAAAATTTATCGTAATTTGTACCTGTCTTCTTAGGTCTTATATTAAAATTATGTTTCCAACGCGTTTCCCCTAAAACATTAAAATCAAAAGACATAAGAGGATTTATGTCACAGTGTCCGAAAATTATCTTGTACATCTGCACTAAGCAGATAAACTTCCTTCGCCATTTCAGGACCCCAAGTCTCTCCGGATATTCTTTCTCTGATCCGCAAATGACTCCAGTGGCTCGCCTCTGTATCGACTCTATACTTTTTATGTGCCATTTTTTTGGCTATTACAAAGTTGCGCGCGAGACTGGGTCAAACTGCACTATGGGATTGTTTTGGGAAAGCTATCGCTTCTTTTATTGGCTATTACAAAGTTGCGCGCGAGACTGGGTCAGTGGTGTCAAACTGCATTATGGGTTTGTTTTGGGAACACTATCGCTTCTTTCATTGGCTATTACAAAGTGTCGCGCGCGCAAGACTGAGTCAGTGTTGTGTCAAACTGCACTATGGGATTGTTTTGGGAACGTTATCGCTTCTTTTATTCGCTATTACGAAGTTGCGCAGGAAACTGGGTCGGTGTTTTACCAAATCAGCACCATGGGATAGTTGTGGGGACGCTATCTCTTCTTCTTCGTCCTTTAAAGAGGTTCCCACAACGACTCAGTCTCAAGCACAACCTCCAAATGGCCAAGACAGAGCGCCCGAAAAAAGGCATTGATGAACATATATCTCCTCAGAAAAAATATCTCAAGAGTGACCAACATCAATTTTCGCCAAGCATTAACATCCATTAATAATAAAGAAAAAAAGTTCATGGGAATTGGTAAGTTATCATCAAGGTAAAAATACTTTCATTTTTCAACTAATTCTTTCAAGGAGATTCTGGAGAATTTTTATGTGGATATTTTTTTTTCTCAAAAAAGTAGGGTCTTAGTCCTACAACCTTCAGAAATTCCATTTTTTGTATGTACCCCTTCCAAAAAAGTTTGACAATGGAAGGGGAGTAGGGTTTATTGGCCTGACGCTCTGCCTGTGGGAGCAGAATCATTTTCACATTGCATCATGTTACGTCTAGACGAAAATTCAGAAGTGACCGTTCTGCTTCCTCGTTGTTCAGAATCCAATCCATCCTTATCCCAGGATTTCATCACTTTAAATAACAAAATACACTTACGGTCTGGGAACAAGTCTGCAGGGAGTGGTTAATGCACAGTAACTTTAACATATCTAACAACATAATATTCTTTTATTATAATTGTCATCTTTTTGAGCAATTTATGTTCACACAAAAATATAAATAACTTATATACAAGAGTTGCAACAGTGTTAGCAGCAATTTGGTCCTGCCAAATGGTGGACATGGGTTTTTGAAGGGGCAGCATCACGATAATTCCCCCGAGGTTCTGTGTTACCTTTTCTAAAATTATGCAGGTACACTCCCTGAAATTACCTTTGAACAAAAAAGTACAAATTAATTCTCTGAAGGTAGCCTGCGCAGCAAGCGTTTCAACACGAGTTCGTCGAGAAAGTTGGGACGAGAGCAAAAAAAGAAAAGGATAACTTTCGCGCTATAACTCGACTGGACACGCTTGCTACACAGGCTAATCTGAAGGTGCCAAAAAAAAAAATTATTGAAATTTTTTTTTAAATAACATTGTTCATCTTCAAAATGTCAGGCCTATTTTCAGTTGTGTGCTGAGCAATATAGGCTTTTAGTGGAAGAAAGGCTGACAGCGACTTTGTTGGATAAAAACTTGATATACCAGTGAATATCAGTTCCATTCATATGCATGATTTGATTTACAATACAGTGAAAGCTCATTAGCAGACAGCTCTACTAACAGCCACCTGCACAAAACCCCATTTTTCTCACCTCCCATACACACTGTATTTTCACATTCCTGTTTGCGGGCAGCTCCAGTTACGGGCACCTTTTTTTGGATCCTGAGGGTGTCCGTTTACAAGAGCTTCCTCTGCATGCGAAAAGTAGTAGCAGTTTGGTCACAAAAAGGTGACCTCCAGCCTTGCTTCCACTCAAGGCCAGAATACTCAGTACAAAACTATATTGTGACCTAGTATTTTAAAGTTTGACTTCTTTCCTACAATTCCTTAGCCAAAGACACTAACAGTTTGCATGTTCTAATATAGTAACTTTTAGCAAACATGTGCATTCTCAGGGAATTTCCATTGATAACAACACTTCTGGTGGACTTGCAAGGAATTCTTGATCTTGCTGACACTGCCCCCTTAAGACAGTACATTATTTGGCAATATTATTGGCCAAGCAATAGCTTGGCATATTCCTGTTGTATTATGGGTTCATGCTGCTTCAAATAAAAACATTCTTTTTGATATTTCATGGTAAATATGTGATAAGCAGCCCATCAAATTCTGATATTTTTTAAGTTCCTAATAGAAGAAAACTTTTTGACCATTCAATAATAACAATAATAATATAAAAAAATAAAGCTTCATTGTGTAGTAGAATTTAGTTTCCACTAAAACAAACTTTATCATTATAAACATTATTTTTCATTTAGGCACTTAAATTTTCTCTATAGATCTGAATGGTGCAAGAAAGTTAAATATGTAGCAAACAATGACATATTCAGCATAATGCCCCCTTGTGTCGTTTGCTTCAAATTCAATAACTTAAATATGTCATAATCTGAATGTCAGTCATAACCCTTTGAACTGTATATCAGAATCTAAATTCTCGATTCTTGCCCAATGCATTCTCTATGGAAGAAGAAGGGAGACATTGTTCAAGTGTCAAGGTAATTAATCTTGTGTGATATGTCTTTAATTCTTATGACAACTTTGTTTTAAACAGCATTCATAAAGCACAGAGAAATTTGGTGCTGATCACTCTTAGGGCTTAAAAGGTTAATCATGTGGTATCACAGCTCACCAGAATGTGTACTGAAAGTACGATAAGCAAAGAAACAATGTTTTTTTCTCACAGCTACAAAGCATTTTTCTGGAAAACAGTACTTTTACCTCTGGAACAGACCATAAGGAAGGTCTGTAAAGATCAGTGTAGCTTGACAAGTACACATATGTGCAGTAAAAGACTGATTTATGGGATACAGGAAAGAAAAAATGTGACAAAGACAAGATTATAGTGTGCTCTTAGANAGCTTGGCATATTCCTGTTGTATTATGGGTTCATGCTGCTTCAAATAAAAACATTCTTTTTGATATTTCATGGTAAATATGTGATAAGCAGCCCATCAAATTCTGATATTTTTTAAGTTCCTAATAGAAGAAAACTTTTTGACCATTCAATAATAACAATAATAATATACAAAAATAAAGCTTCATTGTGTAGTAGAATTTAGTTTCCACTAAAACAAACTTTATCATTATAAACATTATTTTTCATTTAGGCACTTAAATTTTCTCTATAGATCTGAATGGTGCAAGAAAGTTAAATATGTAGCAAACAATGACATATTCAGCATAATGCCCCCTTGTGTCGTTTGCTTCAAATTCAATAACTTAAATATGTCATAATCTGAATGTCAGTCATAACCCTTTGAACTGTATATCAGAATCTAAATTCTCGATTCTTGCCCAATGCATTCTCTATGGAAGAAGAAGGGAGACATTGTTCAAGTGTCAAGGTAATTAATCTTGTGTGATATGTCTTTAATTCTTATGACAACTTTGTTTTAAACAGCATTCATAAAGCACAGAGAAATTTGGTGCTGATCACTCTTAGGGCTTAAAAGGTTAATCATGTGGTATCACAGCTCACCAGAATGTGTACTGAAAGTACGATAAGCAAAGAAACAATGTTTTTTTCTCACAGCTACAAAGCATTTTTCTGGAAAACAGTACTTTTACCTCTGGAACAGACCATAAGGAAGGTCTGTAAAGATCAGTGTAGCTTGACAAGTACACATATGTGCAGTAAAAGACTGATTTATGGGATACAGGAAAGAAAAAATGTGACAAAGGCAAGATTATAGTGTGCTCTTAGAAGGGGCAAAAGTCTAAGTAAACTAACCCTACATAAAAATTTTAAACTTTATTTTTAACCCAATGATTGATTGTAAAAAGTCTTATAATTATATTTACAAACTGTTTTGCTAACTTTAAAAAATACAAAACACTAGCCTATCACTAACTTACAAAATAAATGCTGTACAATAGATTGTTGGAGACAACTTTCTGTCAAACAGAACTGCATACATTAACTTTGAATAACAAATGAAACCCCAAATTGTACAATTAACCCTTTAAGCCCCAATATCCACATACCAATTCTCCAAACTGATCTCTATACATTTCTTTAAAGAATAAGTTGAGAGAATTTGATAACAGATCAAAGCATTTTCTCTTTAGTGATCATTTTATTAATTCTCATAGCCTTATCTCTCGACAAGGTATGGATATCATTAGGAGAAAATTGGTGTTGGTCACCATTGGGGCTTAAAGGGTTAATTAAGCCCTGAATTCAGTTTTCACATGCTGTGCCATGGTGAAACCTGTAATATGCCATCTGGCAGATTCCATACAAATGAACAAAGGCTGCAGCAACCACAAGGACATGAAAGATTTGGTGGCTTTGGAACTGTAAGTAAAAAACAAACAACATGCATAGATGTGAGTTTAGATGAATCTCAAATTCTCAAACTTCCCAGAAGTACCAAAATCAACTCTATTTCTTTAGTTAATCACTGTAATTTTACTCCCCACCCCCTCTCTCTCTAAAATTTCTTTTGCCCAACAGGATTTTAAAGGAGCCACAGTTGCAATGTCATAGCGCAATGCAATAAACACCTACAACAAGCTATCTCTTAACTTAGTTTCAAATAATCTGACTCTGGAACAAGGTCAATAAAATGCACCCTTTGGCTGAACATTGCAGGGCAAGAAACTCTGATGTGAAAGATAAGAAGCTAAACTGGCTGCTTACCCAGATATCACATTTGCCAGGAAACCATCTTTCTGGAACCCTGGTAGCGTACATGATAGCACCAGCTATGTACAAGACTCCCATAAGAGCCATCCAGCCAACAGAAGCCTGGCGATGAGCAAGGGTCACACCATATGCGGCCATGAAATGAATAGCCGGAACAATTCCTGAACATCCAAATGTAAGGAACAAACCTGATGGAAAAAGACATGTATGAATAAATTGTTGAATTTTGAGTAAGGTGCGATGTAAAAAGTTCTTGCCTACAGTTGTGTTGTGCCTCCAGCGCACTTTTTCAACATTTCAGCTTTTTAAAAGTAAAGGGCTTTCATAGAAGGGGGATTTCATAAAGCTTTATGGCATTGACAAGAAAATACAATATTAAGTGAAAGGACAATAGATTATAATTAGCAATTTTGAGTTTTACTTTCTTTTGAAGTCTCTGGAGAACTTTCCAATTCCCAGTCCTGAAAGAACACTCTATAACCTATGATATCTTTGATCAGTATAAGTGAAGGTGGCACTCAGTGTTAGTACTATTGCATATTTTGATTTTTTATCCCTTTTGAATTGGGAGTCTTTAATCCAAGGGGATAACAGTTCTTGCTCTTTTATGGTTTTCTATATAAAAAAAATGACCTGATCATACCTGCTCTGAGTACTCGGTACTTGGGAGTGTTAAACTTGCTCCACAATGAAACAATAATGCACATGATACCAAGGGAACAGATCACTGACATGTAAACAATTTTTAGAACTCTTGAACAATAGAATCCATAGTAAAGAGGAGGAACAAACGAACCCATGATCAGCATAGCAATTCCTGAGTAATCAAGTCTGTCAAGAAAAAATCAATAACATTAGTGTTAGCTACAGAAATTATTGTTGATACACCGTACATGAAAGCTCGAGTATAGTGAAAGCAGCAGGGGTATTTTGGATAACACTAAAAGCCAATGACCCTGGGCCCCAGTTGTTAAAAACCTGGATAGTGCTATCTACTGCATAATCACTCTTCAGTGAATAAGTATTCAGGAAACCAATAAATATTGCGCTATCCAGTGGATAGAGATTTATTCAGTGGACGGTGTTATCCAGATAAGGGTTAGATAATTTATTGTGTAAATGAAGTTTCTGTTCCATTTGCCCTGTATAATGTCCCTAACTGGAAAGTTGATTCACTTAATTCCCCAACCCTGACACCAAGACTCCAGAATCATTCAGTGTTCTGCATTCTACAGAATATCCCCTGCTAGAGCAGAAGTATACATATTATTGTACACAAATTAATGCTCTAATTTATACAAAAAGAAAAACCTATTTTTTTTACAAATTAATAAGTTAACCCTTTAATTAACCTCTTATAAGAGAAAAAAACAGGATAAACAATTTGTTACTCCTTTTGCCCTAGTCAAACTGTCTTTGAACTTCACATGTAACAAACGTAATGCCCATAAATAAGCAATACCTATTGCTCTTGTGCTATTAGCATTGGGTTTAACCAATGTGAAGCCAGGCCTTGGAATGGCTCTGCCTGATCAGATATAAACATCATTAGAAAAATGGATTTTGCTACCTAGAAAAAAATGTTCCAGGTCTACAGTACCACACAGGTATATATATACAGTATATGAATAAGATAAGAGAATTGTGCAGAGAATATGCAAGTTGATTTACATGTGAAGGAAAGTCAGATACGTGGAAAAAACCTCACCTGCTAAAAACTTTGGACACAGTAACAGAGTGGCAGTAAACAGTATGGAAAAGCCACGAGAACCCCAAACACAATATTGCACCAGCAAAAAAGGCACCAAATACCAGCTTCTCCTGCCAGTCTTTTGGAAATGGATTGGTGTTGGTGATTGGTCGCAAAAACATGTACAACATGACGCATATAAAGGCCACAAATCCAATCAAATGGGTCCAGATATTTCCAGTTTCAGAGTGAATTTTAAAAATGCTCTTAAAACAAGACCTAAATGAAGGCATGGGGGGTCGGTGATGGTGTGATAAAAAGTCATTGTCACGAAGCCATTCTGGAAGCTCGAAATGCGAGAGGAGATACCATCCAGAGCGTGCTAATTCGATTGCTTTCTTTGAGATCCTCTCAGCTTTGTCAGCAGCATCATGCATGCTTTCTTGCACATTGTCTTTAGCTGTTTTTAGTATGACCTGAACTCGTTCAGCAGCATCAGTCATGTTTTCTTTGGTTGATTTAAGCATCACCTGCATTTTCTCAGTAGCTTCGTGTATGTTATCTTGCATTTTCTCTGCAGCGTCATGCATGTTTCCCTTGATTTTAACAGCTGTATCCTGCACATTACCCTTAACAGCTTGGAACATAACATGCAAGTTTTCCTCTCCTTTGACTATAAAGACCTAGAAAAAAAGACATGCATTTTTAATAACACTAATAATCATTGTCATCATTATGCGAGGAAAACTTAGCACCTTTAAAGACTAACTTATAAGATGGGCTGGAAAATGAAAATGAATAGATTAGGGAGTACATTGATGAAGGTAGCTGCTGATAGAGACAGCCGATGTTAAGACTTTTAATCTAAATACTGATTTGAACAAAGTAAGGGGGAAAGAGACTTTAAATATAGGTATCTCCCCCCCACATCCCCTCCCACCTACTTTCATACATTATGTAGGAAGCAAAAGAAAAACGAAACCAAAACAAATTTTTAGCTGTTTCGTTCCCCACCTACTAAATTTTGTATGAACACAACTTGAAACCCTTGCACCAGCCCTGAAACCCTATCATGTATTGCCTACATAACTTTATGCAGCACCTGTTTTTCACTACAGTATTTTAATTCTGAGTTTTCTGTCATTACTCCCGCAGGCTTAAATTAAGTATATTTTACAAATATACTTTTTTTTCTGTGTCATCCTGCAATGATAATTCAAGCCCCAAACCATAATTCAAAGGGGAAAAACTATAATAAAGTGTTGCTGCAAATATCTAACTGTCGAAACCATTCATCAGTAAAATAACTTAAATGCATGCAACTCCATAATTGGTTTTGGCTCCATTAAATGTCCTACACCAATATTACTGCAGAACATTTCAAAGTGGACCTATCCACAATGAGAGCAGAGTAAAGAATGGTTCACCTGCAAAAAAAACATTGAGGCTCCCTAAAATTGCTTCTTAATACTAGCAAATAAAACAATAAAACAAACCAAGAAAATGACTTTTCTCCATAGTCTGAGAGCTAGCCGTGAAATGTTTCCACAGGAGTAAAGTAGTTTACAGAGTGAATTGGTCAAACAAAGCGGCTGATATTAATTCCTACAGTGTATAAACCATGTCACTGTTGCTAAGAAACAACAGGTGGCAAGAACTAACAGCATTTGCATGTTACACCTAAAACATGTTGTGTAGATGCTAGTCATCTGCATTCCTGTTAAGTGGTAGGCAATTTGACATGTCAACAGACTTAATTATTAACTTAAAAATGCTAAACTCAAGCAAAACAAACTGAATCTACTTTTCACATACTCCTTTTTAATAATCATTCAAATGGCAAAAATAGATTCCCTTTTAGATTGAAAAATAAATAAATAAAATGAATAAAACACTTCAGATAGATAACCTGGCAGAGACTTTAATCCTCTTCCAAACGTCCATGAATAAAAACAAAGCGATTAACTTTCAATACTACAAGAGGCAGTAAATTCTTATCACTAAAAGTGGTTCACTGTGTCATTGACATAACTGGGTACCAGTGCCATTGAAAGACCACAATAAAACATGCATGGTATATATAGGCAATTCAATATTAGTTTTATCTTTCTTTTACATTGTAGGTTGACAGAATCTGCTCATAAACATTAACTTTTGAAATTTTAATTAAAACCAGGCAAAAACCTCCAATTTAACCAGGGCTCAAATACATTTCTGGGAATTTTAATAAACACCGGGACTAATGCAAACTCAGACGTATGACTTCAGGAGTTGCTCCGTCTTTATAAGGCATTTATACTTCCTCACTTTTATTATTGTTCTATGGTGTGGCATTTCTCTAGTAAACAAGATTCTGATAAACTGGACCTTTTAAACAAACGTATTCTTCGATTTATTTTCAAGGATTTTAACTCTGAGTACAATAATTTACTTAAAAAGGCAGGAACTGCAAACCTTAAGGACAAGCGTTTACAAAACATGATTCTCACTATTTTTAAATGTCTTCATTTTTCTGATTATCCAAGATATTTAAAAGATATGTTTCGTTTACGCTCTAGCACCTATTTTTTAAGAGGACATAATATGCTCTGTTTGCCCAAACCATCGACCACTTCTTATGGTATCAATTCCTTTAGTTACTTGGCAGCAACATCTTGGAATTCTCTCCCTGACCATTACCGCACTATTTCTGATTTTACTTCTTTTCGACGACTGATATCTACTGGGAACAATAATTTACTTAAAAGGGCAGGAACTGCAAACCTTTCTACATCATGATAATTTGCAAGTTAGTTGTCTAGGTAGTTAGTTATCTTTTTTGCTATATAGAATTAACTTTTTATTATAATTATTTATTAATGTAGTTGGCTCGAAGATATTAGCACTTGAGTGCTACACTGTAAATTCGAGGGTAAATAAAGTTTATTGATTGATTGATTGATTGAGTTCAGGTCGGTCACATACTGGTGCTTACTCATTCTCAACCACTCTGACCACTTGTAATAAATTTGGGGTCAAGTGAAGAGGATCTGAAGCGAGTCAGATCGGTCAGAGATAATTAATTTGTTGGGGCAAATTTAATTTGAAAAAGAAAGAAACCTAATTATAATATGCCTGCCTACACCTGCAGGCAAGATGAAGCAAATCTTTTGTTCTGTTTGGCTATGTGAGTGGGCAAGGATTTCCCACATTTGTCCCTGAAGAAAAACGTTCTCTTGGCCGCACAATTTTTTTCAGTATCCTCTATTTCTTCTAAGCTGGTCTCTGTTAAGATGGCTGGATGTTGGCCTCGCTCATTTTTAAAGCACCTGACCAATCCCCAGCCATCTTGACTTCACGCTTGGTCAAATGTTTCTGCTCGTGTGGCGTGTATGGTCTCGTGAGTTCACAGAGTTCTTACGTAACCAGCAGAAAAATAAGAAACGGAACCACAAATTCGCTGGGCCTTTCTTGCCAAAACACCTTTCAAAAATAAAATACTTCCATGCCGTGATCCTATAATTATGAAATTGACAACAAGGTGGCTCACATCAATTGTACAATCCACGTGTGACCACGCCAAATACACGCTTTCCTTACATACTTGTACTTATCTACTCGTTTTAGTTTATATACTCCTACATTCCCAAACGAAGTAGGGAAATAAAAATGGACCGGATACTAATGTAGAAATATGATATTAGCGTATTAAGTTTACCTTGGCTTGCTCGAGACCAAGCAAAGCGCATGTTACACTTTCTCCGTCTACCTCTTCGTCGCTATTTTCGCCAGCATGGTCCTGGTCATTTTCGCTTTCTTTACCACTTGCACTAGTGGTATCTTCGTTTGCTACCCCCTCTGAATCTTTCTCGCCTTCAGAACCTGTGTTACTCGAACTGTCGTCCTCACAACCCCTACTTTCGACTGTTACGTCGACACTGGTCACATATTCTAATGGTTTTTCCTCTTCTTGTTGTTGTTCTAATGGCATTTCTTGACCATCGCCTTGCGAGCTAATGTTTTCAGAGGAATCACAGCTGTTTTCAGATCTTTCACCATCCTTGTCATTCCTATCCTCATTCATCAGCTTGGTCGTGGTTATTTCGCTCATGTTTGTCCTTCTTCTACGTAACTCTGCCATGTATTGCAATTGTGTCGCGATTGATCTGAAGTATTGCGTTATAAGGCAGTGATCACAAAACTTTTCACTGATATTAGCTATTACACTTGACAAACGCAAATCTGACGCTACTCGATCGACAACCTGGATATCTTCGAGGGCTACACGAGTCTTTTTCTAATTAACACTGTGGAGGTTTCGTCTAAAAACGACCCTCTCTCCGACGATAGCCTTCACAAATTGTGCACTTCCTCTTTTAAGAATCAAACTTCGACCGAGTTGTTTTCAGAAGGTCGGATCATGGCTTTATGCCGGTGGCCTGATCATTGTCCACCAATCACAAATCATGTTAGAAGAATTTACATTTGGCGCGTATCAAAGAGACCAATCAGATTCTTCCTTAGAATTGAGAAATGGGGCGCTTACTGGGGACAAAGTCCAGCTATTTTTAGAGTATGAATGGATAATCCACAAACAGAACAAAAAGGAAATGAATACCAAAACTAAAAGATCGGGTGCGTAGAAATCTGGAGGATACGAAAATATTCTAGGAATTCCTAACCAATAACTTTGCCATAACTTACAACAAAAGCTAATGGGAAAAATTTTAAAAAATGGACTGGACTCTAGAAAGGTGGATCTGAATTAGCAGCATATCACAAAAGAAAGGGATGCTTGCAGTAGTGATGAGAGAAGTAGCCTAAGTGATAATAGCCCCCTATGAAGATATTCTTTTGGCTCTTTATCGGGGAACAAAGTAAAGTTACACAGGGTGGCCCATTCAGCCTCCCCTCCTAGGGTGGGAAGGGGGGCACTCGACCAATATTTGGGTTAAGGTGAGTTGCTGAGGGTTTGAAACCCTGACCCTGATTAGGACCAAAAAATCCTAAAATAGCTACCCTGTTTAGGACAAAACCCTCAATTTCATTACCCTGTTTGAGACAAATTACAAAATGCAAGCCATCTTGTTTTAAAGCCATTTATTGGCAATTGCAGTAGAGTAAAATTCACTTTATAATCTGTCATTGTACACTCAGAGTCCAAACTATTTTCATCAAACAAATGAAATAAATTGTGCAGGCAATAACTTGTTTATATTAGCCAAGGACAAACTCGCACAAATTTTATACCCTGTTTCAGCATAATTCAAAGAAAGTAGTGTCCGATAGCCCGGGGCAAATGGATTGTGCTATCAGGCTAGTAAATTCTGTTCTTAACTTGCTGATTGGCAAGTGAAGATTTTTGGGGAATTATTCAAATTACAGAAAAATTGTTATCAATCCGGCTCATCAAAATTTTTTGGGCTAGTTGAAATGACTTTTGGGCTCACATGCTAACTACAAGCTGTAAAACTGACTTTCTTTGTACCCTGTCTTTATGACAGACTTGTGCGAAATTATATATGCTGTTTAGGACACTAGAGAGGAAAAAACTATACCCTACCCAGCGGCACATCCCCACATAAGCCATATGAGGGAGTACCTCACCCTTTCAGATTCAGCCAAAAGGTTGGCATCCATATTATAATACTACATGTGATCAATCTAAAATATAGTAAGACTTAAAAAAAGTATATATCTGTCGTAGTTCAATATTATCCTCGGCTTGAGGTGTTACTTTTCTTTGTTTTTGGGTATTGTAAGATGAGGCCCTGCCAGGGGGGGGTCCCATGTCGCCCGTCTGAATTTTAAAACGTCTCGTGTCGACGTTTATATTAATTCTTGTCGCTTATTGTCGGCTTTGCTGTCATTGTCGCAATTTGGTTGTCTCTTGTCGCGATTTCATTTTACGCACTGTCACCACTTTTTGGGCCATGTCGCTTGTCAGAATTTACCCTGGCAGGGCCTCTAAGATGATGAGTTTAGAACAAAGAAAAAATAGTCTTGAAATGTCAGCTGTCTCCTCTCCCTAACCAATGCTCTCATATGTAGGTCAGAGAGAGGAGAAGGCTCACATTATTTAAAACTATAAAGCAAAATGAAATTAAAACCACAAAATAAACTGAACCACAAACATACACAAAAAAAATTATGTTAAGAAATGACACATGTCAATAAGAGGTATGGTTACAGTGCCCAGTGAATTAAAGATAATTTTATTTTCTTGTTTCACAAAAAATAATTTTGCAAAATCATGCTTCAAAGCCACTGTGGAAATGACAATTCAAGGAGAAAAACAGCCATTTCACATTACACCAGAAAAATTAAGGGCGGATCACAAGTCACAAAAATATCCTTTACCACCCTTCTCAAACTCAGTCATAGCGTTAAGGTAATAATAAGACATCAAATTATTCAAAACATAGAATTTTTTTTCAATTCATTTACAGCTGATATCTATTGCTAATGTTAACTGTTTTTAAAAAACTTAACAGTTTGTTCAAGTATAAGTGGCTGAATAAACTAATTTTATTTACTTGTAAAATTATACACGTTTGTGGATCAATACAAATTTATTGCTTTCTGTAAAATTTGTGATAATCAATAAACAGTTAAACAGTTGAACAGTTGCCACAAATTTACCACAGAAACAAAGGTAATGTATAACAACACTACTTTGTTTGGCACCAAAAAAAGAAAAGCCAGTATTTAAATTACCATGTTCTAGGCCAGTTCTAGTTTCCTATTGCTGATCTACAACTAAAGCATTTTAATAATATTGTGGACAGTCTCATAACAAAATAATACAATAAAAACAAGAAAAGCATTTATCATCTTAAAATAACCTTCTTAGAAATAGATCTGGATCAGATCCATTGATTTCTTGAACTGCAGCCATAATGCAGTAACCAAGCAACCCGTTCATGCCCAAAAACAGTTTTTCACCATGGCACATGAGGCTAGTCTTGCCTCAAAAATTTCCAAAATAGAGGATAACTTTTTAAAGTATACTCATTCAAAAATGTCTACATTGCCATTTTTTGTTCCATTCAACCATTGTTTGTCGGGTTTAAATAAATAAACATTATTACAAGATTGATTTGCTAGGACTATTGAAAAACTTGAAATGAGGTTGGGAATATTTACTCAGAAAATTGTTACACCACACATTCTTTTTTCTTTTTTTCCGAAAGTTTTGGTTGGTGGGGGAGGAAACCAAATGTCATCAAACTGTTAGTCTCCCACGCAGCTGTTTTTGTCTCCTTCTCATGCAACACTCCACCGTAAGTTTGAGCGTAATGTGACAAGACAAACACAGCTGTGTAGGAGACATCAAACCGTGTCACCTATAGGGATTAAACAGGGCCTTAGCATGGGGAGGGGCCTAGGGGACCTGTGCCCCCCCTAGTTTTTGCCCCAAAAAGTCAAAACATGCAAGCATAAAAGTTGAAAATAAAAATTCATCTCCCAGAGCATTGAAACAAAATGTTTATAGTATTTCAAAATATGTCATTCCTGATAAACTGCAATTTACAATTGACGACCAACTCTCTACAACGGCCACTTTTTTTTGGCAGAGAGTCCATACATTGACTCTAATTTAATCCTCTCTGCAATGGCCTTTTTCTTCTGTCCCCAAGGTGGCCATTGTGGAGAGGTTCAACTGTATATCCATTTCCCCAATCCATGTTACTATTTTTACTCCCTAAGGTGATGCACAAAAATACAACAAAACATGTCAGATGCAGTCTAAACGCGTCTAGACATCTGGACGCCTCATTCTCATCTTACTAGATTCCATTCATCTCGTAATATATTCTCTCATTGTCTGTTCTTTGGTACATGACAACCACTGGTGCATGCTTTTGTTTGGGACATTTTCGAATACGACCTTCCTTTTCAAATACAATGAGCTACCCCCCTCCCAGTTTCTAAAGGCTTGCTACCCGAGACAATTTACTTCGGATTCGGTCCCAACAGTTTTCATCGACCGACGTCCGCTTTTAGCGGCGGATGAACCAATCATAACCGGTCGATGAGACGAACCGTAAAGAAATGTCTATCGCAAAAAATTTATAAATATCCCTGGACTGGCCGCTTACTTTGACAACTCAGCCGTCTACTTCAAAACTTTCTGACAACACCGCCTAAGTCCTGCCCAGATCGATCTTCTTTAAGGTCTTGAAATCTAATTTTCTGACAAGTATTCCCATATATTATTGGAATTCCTCCCCCCCCCGCCCAAAAAAAAAAATAGTTAGTGCGCTATGACAGTAGTCAATGATATGAACCTAGCCTTGGTAGTGGATGTATTTCTTTCAGACTATGAATTATGTTTTTGCAAACCATTGCCAGCGTTAAAAACACAAAATCCTCTTGGCATGTGGGAATAGCTGTCCTCATGTGCCATAGCATTGAAGAGATCTTCTGTTTTGATCCATCCAACAGGGTTCCTAGGCCACACATCTAATAACAGAAATCTGTCTTCTTTAACATTGTATCCACCCAAGGGACTAAAATGTCCAAAATCAATACCTGGATAAAATTCTGCCATGTAAAAATTCACCACAACGTGGCCTCCATGTTGCTTCAGATTCTCCAAAGCAATAGATCGAAATTCGTCCACTGTATGGACTTCCGCGGAAACTTTACCCTCGCGGATTGATTCGTTGCTGGAGTTCTGTTGCAAAGGAAATACATGATAGAAACTCGTAGGTAATCCGATAATTTTAATGAGCTCACTAAAGGTTTGAAGAGTAATTCCTTCAATGTCAACATTTTCCTTCCGTAAAATTGAGCAATCTTCGCCTACTTTGAGGATATCATCTTCTTGTAGCGTCTTTTGCATAGCTTTGAGTTGAGCAAGTTCAGAAAATTTTCCAAGGTGAAAGTCGTTTTGGGTGCAATTTTCAAGGATTTCATTGAGGCACATAGCTGCAGTACAAAAGCCACAGTATTTTGAATTTACTTGCTTACGAAAATATGGCAAGAGGCGGCCGTATTTGCATTGCTGTAATAGTTTTTGCCCCTCTGAATCTTCCAGTGGGAGAACAACGGTAGAGGACCTGACATCCGCCATTACCGACGTGAACATGTACAAGGAAGCGGGGGGAGGGAGAGGGTAGGTGAAGCGCTCAGTTCCTCAGTTCCAATTCGAGAATGAAAACGAAGAACAGTGAAAAAAAACGTATTCAAAAACGATAGATTTAAAAACTTAAATGAAATTTAAAATATAATTAGTAGGATAAAGAATAAACAAACAAAAAGAAAATGATTAAAGTTGAAAAATCGATGTTCACATGTTTACCACCCACCCACCCACCCTATTCTCCCAAGTCCCGAGAAAACATTCTACTTGACAACGCAGTCATGTCAGCGGAAGTCTTTGAGCGCTAAGGGGGTTGTCTGAAGTTAACTCATGTTTTATACAATCCTCTTCAGTATTTAAGTTTTCTTTTAATTTCTGTTACGATGTAATGTTTCAAGGCCTTCAAAGGAAGGCGGAGAAAGGTATGATCGACTCTGTTTACTATGAGATCCGTAAAATCACCGGGCGTGAACTCGCTTGGCAACAGATTCGTCTCAACTCAAACACCGGTGAGGCTTCCGCTTTATGGTTAACTGTTTATTTCCCATGAAAAGGAGCATCGTTCCAGGGTATCTATAGCTTTAGGGTTGGTAATTTTTTAAAACTTCTGTGTTTAATGTTGGCTTTACTCCGCGGTCTTCGTTGGAGAAAAGAACGGTTTATAGCTCATGGCGCTGCTACTTAATCAGAGTCAGGGTTCTTGTTCTAGAATCATGTATTGAAAGTCTTTCTTTGGCGAGAAAGCCGCTGTTTATTTGAAATTTTGCTTCCACTCTGTAAATTGCATTGCATTCAACCGTACATTTGTTACTTTTGGTTAATTTTAGTGTAGTTGATGCCTAGATATAAAGTGCCTCAAAAGCTGCATGTAACTGGTGACACTTTTGCAGGTCGTACTGTACGTTTTGATATATCCAAAAGCAATTCAAGGTCTCTAAGCTAATCTCTGTCATAGAACCTCGAGTTTAAGTCCCGCCCTGATGACTACCTGGATTTGTTCTTGGAAATCCGGAGTTCAAATCTTCGGCCTCAGTTGCAAAATAGCCACCTGGTTTGCCTCCTACCGGCTGGGTTTCTTATAACCTTGATACATTCCAATTGAAGAGTCAAATCCTGTTAATAATGACACTGAGGGGGTCATAAAAAGTTCGGTATTAACAGGGTGTCCATATTAAGTGGGCTGAATTTAGAGATCATCGAAGGGCTTTCTTTCCCCAGAGACAAAGCAAAGTATCTGTAATAAATGAAGTGCCCATATTCTATGTTTTCACTGTCACGCCATCAAAATAAAAATGCAAACAATTCAATACAGAGAGTCCACAATCTGGGAAATTAAAGAAGATAAATATACAACAAGCCTTGCCAAGAATCAAGTCTGTGCGATATTTCATATGCAAGATATTCGGAAAAATGTTTTAATTCAAATTCATACAGTAAAGCTTTACATAATTATATGGAGACAACATGGCCACCAGAAATCAATAAAAACACCTGTTTTTGAGTTTTCCTACAAAGTGTGAATTCCTTGCTTGAGGAACTCATAATGATAATAATTATTATTATTATTCTGAGGCAAGGAATGTTTAGATAGCAAATTTTCAAAAAATCAGTGACATTTTTAACCCACATAAGAGCTTTCCCAACCACCAGCCAGATGCTGCGTCACGCAAAAACCTGAAAATGGAAGCATCCTCTATTGCAAAACAAAGGACCCTTTCAAGTCAAAAATTTGTATATTAAAGGTGTTTAGGTGCTGTAATACCTCATGAAAGTAAAACCTCAAAAGAATTGATAGTTTCTTAGTTTGAATTTTGGTGATGTCATGTGAAAACCAAGAGTTAAGCGGGTGTCCGTACAAGGGGTCTGACTTTGCTTCATTATCCCTGAAAAGTACCATCAAGGGATAGGATAATTGAGTATAATTTCGTTTCTTTAATTTTCAGCGACTGTGTACAAAACAACAAAATAAATTAGTTATTCAGTATGGTAAATCATAATGTGTTGCATTCCTCTATTCTTTTCAGGATAAAAAACCCACTATTTTACAACAAAAGCAAGCGCCGAGAAAGCCTTATCGTCAAGCAATAACACCATCACCCCCCAAAACAAGCCCTGGTTCCAGAAATGTTTCAAGACCACAAACTTCATTGGGACTTTATAATGAACAAGAGGCTACTTTTGATGAAGTGTTGGATTATTCAAGGCCGAAATCTGCATTTGGAAACAACAATGAAAGAGTAACAAAAGTGTACAACATTAACAGGTAAATTCTTGTACATTTTATACAGAAATGCCAGCAGAGTTATAAGGGATTGGTGATAGATCCTATTTTCCCTCAGAGTTCTGTTCCTACGTGTATCGTATCTTGGGCAATTATCTCAGATTAAGCTATGTTACTCATGAGGAAGTTGCTTCTTTCAGTACTGGTCATATGCTTGCTTTTGTGCATCTTACACTTTCCAAAAAGATGAAGGAATAAATCTGCTGAGAATATCAAAGAATTTTTTATGGAAAGTATAAATTATATTGAATCCCTTTTGACAAACAATGAC